AAATCAACAGCTTTCAAAACTTTTGCTCTGTAATAAAAATAAAAAATATGTTGTATGTACAAAATATACAGAAATTCTATACTGTAAATTGAAACTAAACGGATGCTTATTTTACGTAGAAATATGTATAATTAATTTTTACTGTGTTTGTAAAAACAATCTTGGATACACTTTTTTATCAGTATAAATTAAATTCTTATTATAACTATTTAAATTTTACAAGAGCAATTAAATAAAAAAAAAATTATTTAAATTACTTTTTTCCCATAATAAATTGTTTAATTCAGCACTGTTGCACGTACGTCATGCGTGAACAAGTTTTACAACGATAATTCACAAAAGTTTACAAGTATAACTCATAAGCCTTAATTGTTAATTGTGGGTATTTATATATATATATATTATATTATAATATTAAAAAGGGCCGTGGGTCAAAACGGCCATGGTCAATTTTTCGTAAAAATGAGCTAGTTACACCATCTTGTGGTATGTTTCCGAACGAATCGATACATGGATCGAGTTGTGAAAGAAAGTTCTTAATCCGCGCTACAGTAGTTTTAAAAATACATAACAAACCAAGTGGAGTTCTGAAACTTTGAAATGCGATATTAAAAAGTTGTAAATATTGACTACTAAGTTTTTATTCGTGACCATATAATTATAGTTGTATTGTTAGTTTTTTCCTCAAGTTTGGCTAGAATACCTTAAGTATAATTTTCAAAGTCCTAATATTACCTACAGCCGAAATCATAAATAAAGAAGAAGGTTCCACTTATTTCTCCAAAAAGGGTTATATATAGTTTTGGGTTTTTTTTTGTGTGTGTGTTGTTAATGTCTAAATAATTAAAACCAAATCTAAACCAAATTTGGAACTATTTGGAACACTTTTGTTGATAATCTACAGCATGCTGTAATTAATGTTTAAATAAATGTACATTTTCAAGGTGTTTGGATAAAGAAAGTAGAATTTTATCAACAATTATTGGTCTTAAAAATGTACTTTTGGTGAACGATTTTTAGTCTATATATCTACTGCGTAATAGTATATAGTATAAAAAAAAACGTCCAGCCACTAAAAAGTTATCGTAAAACGAAACTTTGGACATAAGAAATAATTATGAATTGTACTTTGTATAACCAAATACTGTTAACTGTTTTAGTATTGCTTCACAATTGCATTGGGTAATTGATGTTTTATATATTTTTATAGTTTAAACTACTTCGGGCCCATTGATGCTAAAATCAAACATTATAAAACAATAATTTATAATTTACAATACTAAATATCTATTTAAATTAGGTGATTTAATTACATTTTGGCTATAGATTTTGCACGTTCACGATATTATTTAAAATATTAAAATAGAAAAAATAACTATATATTCTCAAATTTGTATTGTTCATAATCGGACAATGTTTTTTTTTTTGTAAATAAACCATAATGTGTAACTATTTTTGTTTTGTTTAATCCTTAATATATGTTTTATGATATTATAAGACTAGCGTCGACTGTGCGTAAGGTGTTTCCGAGGCGTTAAGGAGCAGTTTTTGACCAACATTTTGCCGGTGCCATGGACCGTTTTCGGAAAGAGTTTCCCACGAGGTCGACCGAGACATCTGCCGTTCAAAATACAACAACAACAATAATAATAATAATAATGATGATAATATGCTTGGCCGCAGTACTATTATGAACAGTGTACTACGTATACACACACGGCAGTCGCCACAAATATGTGTATGTGAGAGTTTGCAAATACTATTATTTGCTGTGCTGAGGGTGTATAACTATAAACAGAACAGTTGTAGACTGTAGTGTAATATAATATAGTATATATACAAATATATATATTAAGTAGTAGGTGGTGCGGCCATCCAACCCTCCAGCCCATTAGGTGATATTTGTGACGGAACTTGTGTCTCCGTTCCCTGCACTATATTTTGTTGTGTTGTAGTATGTGTCTGTTACAATACAACATAATAACCGCACTAAGGACGGCGAGAAGAAACTTTCGACTTTCAATTAGCGTTACATAGTCGTGTGACTTAACAATTAGCATATTATTATAATATTTGACAACTGTATAAACGACTTCAACGCTTGTATACACGATTGGACGTACTGCGTCTCTTGTACCGTCTCTTTAAACGTTTGTTGGTTATTTTTAATAGTTTTAAGAAAACTTATTTCCAACGTTAATATACTAAACATTCCAACGTTAAAGGTATAGAGTTTATTAGAAACGGATTAATATAATTTACAGTTATATAGAATTTAAGCTAGCGTATTTTTATAGTGTTATTTCTATATCAGTTTTAAATAAATTAAAAATATAATATACCATAACCTCAATAGCTGTTGTGCTCCTATTATGGTTAATTTTTAATACTGCTGACGTCTTCAATTAATTTGTATTTTTATGTAAGGGTGTTTTCACTGATATGGGTAGGCTTATCACAAATATCATTATAGATGGGAAAACGGTATAATATTATTTTGTAGTCCCTTTGGTAATATACTTATTGACCCGGACCGGATAGGGACCGCATTCATATAAATAACCTTAGTAAGTGTACCCGGCACTATTCAATTTGTGAATTGGGTATCAACTTGGCGGGTGCCATTTGCAAATATTGTATTGGCCAATGTGCTTAGAGAATATTAAATTTTAAAATCAAAAAGTTTAGTTCCTCTTGATACGAAGTTGTTGCTGTAGCATTAAGACTGATATCGGTTTACTAAAATGAAGTTATTATTTATCAATAATTTTTGTAAGAACAACTACTTGATATATTCATTAAGTTTACAACTCGACTTGTCCAAGCATTTATACAACTAGCAGGAAAAATATTTAAAACACAAAATACATTTTACTAACGTTTTTGTAATAAACGGTATGCGTCTTACGTAAAGTGCTAAAATGTTTACCATCGACTGGTAACGTTATACACGCTATTGTGTGCTAAACTACTCATAATAAACTAATAAAATGCATTATTGAACATTGAATAGTTCATTAATATAATTCAGTTATAAAAATTTGAAAATAAATTAATTACAAAAATTCAATAAAGTTTAACTAATAAAATTTAAGACAGGTGTTCCTTGGCTTTAGTGGTTCGCCCCGAAGGGATCCCCTACGACCGCGGACCGACTAGTAGCACTGGGTGCTAATTGCGGGCCGCGTAAGGTGTGTCGCAAGAAGAAGTGACCTGTTAGAAGGCCACTTATCGGACGGCTCTACGTCACTTTAGTCGCCTTTTACGACAGGTGTATTGGTAGAATTCTTTCTCCCCTGACCACAGGGATAACCGCGGCCAACAGCCTGGCCACCTGGCCACTCGCGCCCAGCGCCACCATCAACTCCTAACTGAGTGGCTCGGCGAGGTCCTCGTGCCTCCTCTGCCCTGTCGATCGTCGACCTCGCTGAGTATCGCCCGGTAGGGTAAAATGTAAGACAATCAAAGGGTTCCACAAAGGAGACGGTGAGACACAAGATTGGCTAAATAGCCTGGAGGTTCAGATACGTGTGTTGCAGTCACTTTATTTTATTTCTATTTTATAGTTAATGGTTTCTGTCTATAATTGTATACATGTTTATTTCAGTTATTTATCTTTGCTAGTAATTAAGAGCTCATAAATGTTTTCATCAATTAATAATATGCTATATGAAATTAAAAAAAAAGATAATCAAAGAAAATTAGTCATCAAAATATGTATGTAAATTATTTTTAAATTAAGTATTTGTATTAATAACGATCGATAAAAATATGTGTATTGGCAAATGGCGTATAAGGAAAAACTTTATGGCTGTTAAAAGGACATTTCGCGTTATCACATGTTGACGGAGTCTATTATTTATATCGCTTGCTATTTAAAAGTATTAAAAAAAACGTACAATAAATTAATTGAAAACGTAAATATTAAATATTAACTTATTGTTAATCATTTATTAAAAGATTGCTATTTGTTTTTTTTTAATAAGTAATTAATACCTTTTAAGGTACATCTTTATAACAAAAAGGGATTTGTTTAAGAGCGCTACGACTAAGTTTCTCCATTAAAGTTCTCTAAAAGTAATGTAAAATAGCTATTCTGATTGGTTTTCACAATCGACTATTATTGAGTTAGTATTAGAGTATATTATCGAATAAGTAGCTGTTGAAAACGTAATTAATTACTATATTAAAAATACGAATTAAATCCATAACATGACTAATGCACCTCCCAAATCGTTATGTAGTTATGTAGCAATGAGTTTTTTTAAAAATTTAATTGTTTAGTGTCTATTATATATATATATATATAATGTATAAAGTCTATAAATACTTGTTTTGTAGACAATTAAAAATATTAAAATGTATAGTAAATGGTCGTCTTATTGGTTATTTACTCAACTTATCTTCATTAAATTTATAATCATTTTTTTATATTACGCCTAACATATTAAAAATTATAATTTACCGCCCGAATGAAGCGTTATCGATATTATATAATAAATTATTATATCAAAGTATTTTTGAGTATACTTCAAATTTAAGGCGCGTGGATAGGCAATTTTAAAAAACCTCAATTAAAAAAAAATAACTATGTGATAAATTTACTCATTTTTTAAACAGTATGTATAAAGTGTAAAAGTACGTTAAATACGTTAATAACTTCAAAGTGGTAGGGAAGTAGCTATACTATAGCTACTTGTTTTTGTTTTATCTAAATACATATATTTATAATATTAATGTTTCCGTCTTCATTATCGTTTATATTGTCAAGAAAAATGATAAAATAAAAATAATCTTTAAAAATAGTTAAAATAATCATGTTGGGTGTTAATAATACCCAACAAAAGGCATTCAAAACTTTATAATCAAAAAGTTGAAATTATTTCAAATTTACAAATAATATCATTTAGTTTTCATGGAACAAAAAATATCACAAACGGAATGATTATGCGCTTTTATGTATAGGTTATGTACAAATATGAGTTTTATTATCAGCAAAAAATTTTGTATTGTTATTTTATGTTTTGTTACTGAAGAACGTTTTTTTAGTAGTAAAAAAAAATAAACTCAGTAAAAATAATTGCATTAAATATAAAAAAATTTATACCCACAGAACTTTAAAATGTCTCTCTTAAGTCATTGCGGATATGTAAGTGATAGTTGCAGTAATATTCCAGACTTTGAAAAAGATGAAGTTTCCACTGGTGTAAGTAGTTTATTTAATGTTCAAGTACTACTTAAACAATAGTTCTTGGTTATTGTTTGTAGTAAGATTTAGAATTGAAAGGGTGATGATATATAGTACCTAACAGATATTTTATTGGATTTCAGACTACTATTATTGCTGCTAGTTATGACGGAGGCGTTGTTATCGGGGCTGATTCTCGTACTACCACCGGGTAAGTCGATTTAGGTACCAGCTAAAGAAGCTTTTAAAATAAATTTGTTTGACTTACAGAGCATACATTGCTAACCGAGTGACTGATAAGTTAACAAAAGTGTCCGATAATATTTATTGTTGTCGGTCAGGATCAGCTGCCGATACACAAGCTATTACTGACATAGTTTCCTATTATATGGATCTATCGAGGTAATATATCATATTGCACTAAGCTAAAAATACTTATGTTTTTAAATTAAATTATATTTTAGCATTCAAATGGGAGAGCCTCCTCTCGTCAAAGCCGCAGCCAATGTTTTTAGAAGTCTTATTTATGAAAACAGACATCAGTTGACTGCTGGTGTTATTGTTGCGGGTTGGGACAAGAAATTTGGAGGACAAGTATGTATCATAAAATATTTAATGATGTGTTTAAAACATTTTTTTTATTAGGTATATACAGTTACCGTGAGTGGTATGATAATCCAACAAAACATTTCAATCGGTGGCTCCGGTAGTACTTATTTATATGGATTTATGGACTCTCAGTACAAAGATGGAATGACTAGAAAAGCGTGCGAAGACTTAGTTCTTAATGGTATGTATGCTTTACTTGAAAAATCTGTATAATTGATAAGACATTTTTTACTATTTGATTTAATTTTTTTAGCCATTTCTTTGAGTATCAAACGTGATGGATCCAGTGGAGGTGTTGTTCGTTTAGGAACAATTGATCATACTGGGGTTATTCAAAGGAAATTAGTTCTTGGAAATGAATTGCCAAAATTCTATGATGGCGTTCTTGTAAAAAAACCAGGAGGCCCACACTCTGAAGATGCCCCAATGGCTTAATAGTTTAATAAATTTATAATTTTTTTTTTGCAATCATTTATTAATCATTTTGGTAAAATGTAATTACTAATTATTATTCACTCTTGTATTGATTGAAATAAAGGCAATGTGTATTAAATAACATGGTGTCTAAAAAACAATTTTTTTAATAATTGTAAAAACAGTTATTATATATTGACAACAAATGTTTTAAAATAAAAAAAATCATATACGAATAATAATGTATCATAATTAAAAACAATAATTACTAATTATCTTATTACTAGCAAAGTTAGTATTTTATAGGAATTACATACTTTTTTTAACATAAACTTACAACCAAATAAAATAAAGCAATTACATCAATCTAATGAAAGATAATGACCTAAGAATTTCTACATTATATTGTCTGTTAACTTTTGGCGTTTCATTTGTAAATTTATTTAAAAATTATTTTATAAGTTAGATACATGAATTTCCTATGGCCCGCATTACCGCTTTATTGGTAGTAATTGTGTAATATTGATGATAATACCAGTGGTGTAGTTGTAAGGGTATACACTGTGTGTACATGCACACCCGTGCCTTCTACTTTCCCATGTACTTTTAACAAAAATTATATACCCTATCTGTGGATACGGGATTTTCGTTGCAAATATATGCATACTTAAGAAAATGAGAGGTGTACACACGGAGTATGACTGATTTGGAGTTAATTTAACCGGAAACAACTTTTATGAGATTTAGATATTATTACACAGAAGTTTGATAAATTTCCATTTAATTAATTTTAAAAATATTCTCGATAGTTCAAACGTAACATGAAGCATTATGGGTGGTTCTGATGAAGGGGGTCAGGGAGAGTAAGTAACTATAATAAATTATATCTATACATTATTTTCAATTGTGTATAGATATAATTTATTATGATTTAGCAGGTATAGAACATGGTTACCACGTTTTTGTTTATATTGAAAGTGATTCTTCTTCTTTCAACTGTGATATACTATGGGCCGCCACATCATTCATTTATGAAAATATTAAAATAATATTTTATTTCTTTAATAAAATTAAAATCAACAGCATAATCAATAAAAAGCTATTATTGTTTGCACCATCCCTGTTAAATTTTATGTATTTAAGAATAATTTATTTAGTTGCTCAAACAATATAATTTGTTTAATAAATAAGATTTTATGAATATAGAATTCCATTTTTTTTCATACTGAAAACCGAATCAAAATTTTCCTTGTTGCAAAATTATAAAATCAAGTAGGCATTTCTTCTAAACATAAAAAATAAATTTAATACAGACTAGACATAAAAATGAAGTATATTCGTTTAATATTGTAATAAATGTACAACAGAAATACTTCATTTCGTTAACCTACAGTGTCATCTAATTAATTGAAAGTATTAAAAACTAAAATGCAAAAAAAAATGTTTGTTTTTGACACGTTGATTAAGCCAAGTGCCAACATTAAATTTATAACACATGTATTCAAGTATAAAATAATTATTTTTATCAAATTTTTGGTTTTACTTCTTATTGTGTTAAAATAATTTTACTTAGCTAACATAAAGTACTTCCCTTTATAAACTGTCTTTAGGTTCAACTTTACAAATAATAAATGAAATGTATTTATATTTTTAATCATGTATGCCTAACCACTCAAGTTACAAATCAGAGAAATTTTGTTTACAATATGAAATCATAAGTTATCTTGGAAGAAAAAAGATGGACGCATAAATTTCTAATAATTACGGTTCAAGCAATGAAGGGGAACAGTTAATAGGGATGTATAGCATTTTATTTGATAAAAATGAACTAATAATTATTTAACACTATAGTTGGATTATAACTGATAGCCTTTTGTCCTGCAGTACAATTAGCAGATCATAGGTAAGAAACACCATTATTTTCTTCTTGTAAATAGTAAAGCAACTTAAAAAACTTCAGTCTATTTTGTTCAAAATAATCTAACAAAATTGAGCATAATGTTACTAGTTGTATTAATGATGTACTATTAACGTAAGATACAACTAAAAAAACAATAATTTTGCATTTTTGTATTAGTTCACCATAATGTTGTGTAAGTTATTATATTTCTATTTAATCACATGATGAAGTGTTGGAAAAGTTTAAAGAAAACTAATATCTTACAATACTCTATTTTTAACAGTAGCAATTGAAATTTCCAAATAATTAGTTAAGATATTAAAAACTGTACTGAATTCTTACATCTATTATTTATCACAAACAAAATATATTAATACAAACAATATTTAACTACTGTAGAAAATACATTAGTTGTTTGTCACATCATACTGTTAAGCCAGTTATAGATAATTTTTGTAATTGAGGAAGATAGATTACCATTTTATGTAAATAAAAAATAATTTTAAGAAATACAATAAAGAATATTTTATTTCTAGATCGTGCATAAGGAATGGGGAGAAGAAAAAATAAATTTTAACAATGGTTTCACAAATAAAATAAGTGAATAAGAAACGGCATTTGAATTGAACATAAAACATTGATGCACACACATGAGCATGAATTATGTCCCCATTTAGTTTAATCGATGTAAAAAATTACACATATAAAATCAATTAAATTAAACCGTATTATGTGAACGAAAATTCGGAAGTATGAGGTAATGACGATAGTAGGGATTAGGCAGTTGTAGCCGGTTTTACTTCTTCTAGGTTTGGCAGATCATCTTCAGTTTTGTCTTTACCTTTACCCTATACAAGACGAAAAAAAAAGTAGTTATAAAATTAATTTGTCTAATAAAAAAATTAAAATAAAGTGCTTACTGCTTCAGTATCAATGTCATCGAGTTCTGGCATTTCTTCATCATCAGAATCTTCATCGGAAGGTTCATTGTAATCTCCTCCTAAGCCACCAAGTCCTCCCATACCAGGCATACCAGGCATTTTAGCTCCACCGCCGCCCATCATACTAAGCATCTACACAATAATAATAATAATAAATTAGAACAATTAGTAGTGTAGTCGTTTAGGACTACGTTATGTGTACGCACATACCATTATTCGTGCATGCGTTCTTACAACAAAAATCATATGCCCCCAAATAGAGTAAACAATTTTTGTTAAAAGTATACACATATACAGAAAAGTGGTAGGTCAGCACACACAGCGTATACCCTTACGACTACGCCACTGAGTACAACATAATGTCCAGTTATTTTTTGTTATCGACATACATCATCAATGTTACCGTCACCTCCCGCCACTTCTTCGTCTGTATCGTCTTCATCTTTCCATTTCTTAAAGTCTACTTTTAACCAATGGTATTTCTTTTTTTCTTTGGTTAGATATGGCCAATACTTTGTGTCGTCAGACGGCTTTTGTAAAAGTAGCTCAATGTACCTGCCACCAATTGTCGTTTTACTGTTCTGTAATTTACAAAGTACAATTATAAGTATAGAAACCAACGCTAAATAAACCTCTGGCACGTACTTCAGGTTCGACTTTTCCAAACAATGGTATGGTAACTTCATATACTTTTTTTTCGACTCCACCAACACCGTGGAAATATATTTGTTCAGGTTCGATTTTAACTTCCGGATTTTTACAATCTTCTACACAAATGGTTATGTACACCACTGTGTTACGTTGAGCCCAAATTACTGGTGCTACCAGAGGCCTGAATAAATAAAAAATTGTACATTTATAGACATTAGATGAAAAATAATTTTTTTCCTAAACCAAATTGTATGAAGGTTAATTGCCATAATCGATGCTTATTATTTTTGTGTAGAATATTTCTTAGGAAAAACAAAAAGGTTTGGTTACTATAAACTTTGATGTATTATACAAATTTTAAACTATCTTTGATAACTGACCAACGAGTTAACAGTTGCAGGTGGACTAATAAAGTTATATGATCACCTGTGTCTGCCATAAACCTCTAGTGGAAAATATAATTGACCTAACCCAAATGGCTTATGTAATACTGTTTTAAAAGCATTCACTGATCTACTTAACAAATTTAAACACTGACATAGCACTCGCATATGTACATTTAGAAATGATCAGCACACTTGATTTAATCATTTCTATTTATTCAATGTTCCAACTTGTTTTAAAATGCAGAAAACTTCAATTCTAACATAACAAGGTTTTAACCATAATAGGCATTTAACTTAAATATTATATTTTGATGGTTAAAAGGCCAATTATTGTAAACCTCATTGGACGAAAATGAGGTTACAACAAATTAAATTTCATATTATAATATTCTTAGTTTTAACAAATTGTCAAAACCCACAATATAATTGAATACTTATTTGATTAAACATGTATTCAGTCTTAAGCCGGGTTCACACGACTCGTCTATTTGCCGAATGTATAGTGAGTACATTTGGTATCCCTATGACTCGTGTCGCATTTACCGACAATCCGCGGGAAGAGGACGAATACCGAATAACAATACACTGTTCCCACGACATGGCTAATATATACGAATACCGAATATTTGGCGAATAGACGAGTCGTGTGAACCCAGCTTTAAATGCGTCCCCCGTCAAAATAATGTTCGACAGCTGACCTTTAAGCCATCAATTATGTGTAATCATTTTAATTTTATGCACCAGGTATGGTCTTCTCTTGCGAGTTTTTTTTTGAAGACTAAACTCAATTATTTTGAAGACTGTTAAATCGTAAATAATGTCGATGTCATAGAATAATTTAGATTAGAAAAAATAAATGTATAGCACGAAACCAATTTCTTTGGTGAACTTAAAAACTACGTATTTGTGAAAACAAAGGGTTTATATTAGAAAAAACCAAATGAGAATGTTAGATTTTGTCATTATCAACCGGCATCCCTGACCTTGGAACCATAACTCGCTGCCAAGTTTAGGGTGAGATCGAGTTTGGCTTGGGATGTCGCGGGCGAGTTTGGATTTGTCAAATGGGAATCGATCGTCGATAAAGTAACATGACGTAACTACTAATAGAGGGCTAGCGTGTTTGCGGGCACCCGCCGTACAAGGGTTGACGGCGGCTATGGCGTCCGGCCGGCCAACATCGCGGAAACCACCGCCGCCCGGGTTGAGTAGCACGTGTTGTTAAGCACAGTAAGCGTACCTAGCACCGTAATCGTAGACGAAACGAGAAAACGTTCCAGCGCTTTAAATAATGGCGTCGTCTGTCGCCTCGTGACGATTTTTCGTACGCCGCGGTTACCGGGAACCGTTGCATGGAGGTACTTACTGTTCGTTGGTCATTATGTCGTTGTTGGTTTGTATACGATTGTACTGTTGTGTTTGAACGTGAACCGTGCACTGGGACGCAAGACTAGTACAAAACGTTAAACGGTTGCAGGACAGGACAATGCGAATGCGACTGACAAAAACAAATTCAGATGTCGTTAACCGGCAAAAATGAAACAACACTGATTCACTGATCGGCTCGATTGGAAATAGAAAAAACAAGTAACAACGAGCTAGCGGTGGAGGCGGCTGTAGAACAGAAACAACACTGTCACAATGTGAAGAGGCGCGCGGGGGTGTTTTCATGGAGCAAACGATTAACCAGCTCATGGAAGAAAAACCGAATTAGCGCGCAATGAATAACACCGTGCTAAATATTCTTAAATATGACGTTTCCAACTTCCAAGCAAAAATGTAGGTACATTATTTGTTAGAACTATAACACGTTTTGATTAAAATGACTATTTTAATGCTTTTTGGAACATTATAAAATGATGTTTTTGGATCAAAACGTTTATATCGTTCCAAAAAATGTATTTAACTTTAAATGTCGTTTATTATTTTTTTTACAAGTTCAAAATCTGTTAAGCTATTAGAATATCATATTAATCAATTTTTTTAGTAGTTATAACAAATAACGTGAATTATAGTCTAGAAAGGTTTTCAATCATTGCATGCAAGCATAGTAATAAAGTTAATTTATTTGCGTGATAATCAAGTCTCAATATAAATTTATACATACAGTATGAAATTCAGATGCAAGTTAAAAAAAGATCTTCTATTATATAAAATATAAATTATAGTATAAAACTACATAAAAGCAGTACTATGTCTAAAAATTAGATTCAGATTTCTATTTAAATATACAAGGTTTTTCTAAAGACACCTGCATTTAAACTTTTTTATTAACTCTACTAACCTTTTGGACCTCATGGACTACTAAATCCATTATGTCGACTACTTATTTCTTATAATTTATGTACATTTTGTTTGTTTATATGACAAATACATTTATTATATAATGACCAGAGAACTTTCACTATATTATAAAATACACCTTGCTTTTTAATGTAACCTTATAAATGCTTATTTAATCATAACAAAATATTTAATAGTTTTATATTTATAACAAAATTATGAGTTAGTTTAATTATTACAAAGTAATTTCAAAAAGTATCTTTATTTTTTAATGGGTATATATCAGCTAAAACTACTCTGTTTCCAAAATTCATATAATTCATATATACGTTATTAATTTAAACCAAGGTTATAATTGAATAGCTGGTCTTTTAATTATTAATGACATACAATTTTTTTCAGAAAAAAAAAAAAAAATAAGACGAGGTATTCTTTAACGTTATACTATTAAAATATTATTGAATGAGACATAATAAGGTATTATATAAAATTACTTAATTTCAAATTGGAAATACTAAGTATAAGATTACAGGAAAATAAGACATGTCACTTTTTTCTTTTTTAAACAAATAAATTATGTAATTATGTTAAAAATGTGGCCAAAATATCAATGTAATATCCAAATAACTAAGAATATTGAAATATACATGTGTTAGTTATATATTTTTACATGCTTTTCTTTAGCTCGCTAACACGTAGCAAGTACACGTACGTACGTTTGTACCTCTATTTTTCAAATCTTGCAAAATTAATTTAACCCACTTTCCGATGTCGTATAGGTCTGAAACTTGGCACAAACACTCATCTTGGATGATAACGCAATATCCTGTAATAATATTGCGACTCGGACATCCATGTCGCCCTACACAGGGTCAAATGAGGGGGTCATTTCACTAAAATTTCATTTTTTTCCAAATCTTCCAAAATTAATTTAGTAATCTATTCAGCATTTATTAAATACCTTTAATAGGACTAAAAAGTAAAAAAATAAATAAAAAAAAACTTTTTTAAAAACATGCTTTTCTAAAAAAAAAAAAACAGTAAAAAGCGAACTAAAAAGTAAAAAATAATTTTATTACAAGAACAATTTACTAATCAATTGTAGCATATTTTATTTAAAATGTTAATTACTTTGAAAACAACCGAAAATTAATTTTTGACTAAAAAGAAAAGCGTGGGCCTTATTCAACAAAGTCCCTCATAAATTTAGATGATGTTTTGTATTGTAAGTTTTTTTGTAATTTAAATTTGGTTTAATACTAGTGTGTGAAACATACATTTCTTAATACTTAACTCAATGAATTTGGACTTTGTTGAATAGGACCCACGCTTTTCTTTTTAGTCAAAAATTAATTTTCGATTGTTTTCAAAGTAATTGACACTTTAAATAAAATATGCTACAATTGATTGGTAAATTGTTTTTGTATAAAATTATTTTTTACTTTTTAGTTCACTTTTTACTGTTTTTTTTTTTTTTTTAGAAAAGCATGTTTTTAAAAAAGTTTTTTTTTATTTATTTATTTTTTAAAAACAAATCCTTAAGCTTCCCAACACTTTTTAAAAGTTAAATTTTGCTAAATGTATTTGTGAATACATGACCTAAAAAAAATTATTTCATATAATATCAAATATTATTATTACTGTATTTGTTATTAGTATTGATAGCTGTAGAATTTTTAACATTATCTGTATAGTAGCTCGACTAATTTTTAAAAGCCAAAAGCGGTGTTTTTTAAAATTATATGAGAGTTGTTCCTCAAAATGAATATAGATTTAACCATTAATTTATATTACAGAACAATGTATTAAAACGTGAATACTTTGACACACTCTATGTTATTTAATTTATCCCTTTAACAAGAAAACGTTTTTAATCAGGATGATTAAATTGCCAGATTTTATAATTACATAATAAATAATTTTAGTAGCGAGGTGAGTTAAGTCAAGGCGACAATTAAATAATATAGAACTTAAAATTTGTATACAATTATTTATTCAAACTAAATAAAAGAAGCAAACTTATGATGCTTCGTCACTACATAATTTTATGTTTTACATTTTTCTATCAAAGACAATATAATAAATATTATTTAATTAAAAAAAAAAAAAATCAATCACTGGAGGATCAGATAAAAAAGTCAATTAGAACACAATTTTACAATGTCAATATTAAATATAGTGTACACTTACTTTTTTTTCAATATTCATTTAATTTTTTAAGCTAGACATATAAGTCATCAATTTCCTTTTGTGATTTATGAAGTTATCTAAGCCAATTACATATATTGCGGGATCTTCAACTCCCAAACACTGTTATACATTTTCAGATAGTTTACTATACCTAGAAATAATTAATATATAACTAAATACCTATAATTATGAAAAATTGTGATTAAGACCTAATAGGTATTAAGACCCAAGTTTTTCAAAATCTCATGTCTTTATATAAAATAGTAAAGTAGTAAAGCAATTTATAATACCTTTTACTTAAAAATGTTAAATAACATTAAGCTTACCCTTTTGAATGTGTGAAAATTTTTCTGTTTCACATAACGTCTGTTGCGGTCCATTATAATTGCTACGTGCTTTAGTTTTAGAATGACTTCGTCAAAACATGGCTATAGCCCACATAATAGTGTCGCCATCGAATTTATTATTAATTATTATGGATCCATGACAAATTTACGTGTTGTCCTAGAGCCTAGTGAGCTGTATCTAAACCGTTTAACGAATTTGTATGAGTCTTCATAGGCTGTCTACTGTCTAGTTGCTGCTAGTAATGTCATATTGTCATGGATTGTCTCCTTAGTTCCTAAAAAGAGTTAATATAAAGATTTGAGTTACTTATAGTTACTTTTATGAGCTAACGAGTCCAAATTACAAATACATGGACAAAGCCAACAGGTAAGTCGTCACTTCGTATTATCAATATCAACAATATGGCTGCTGATTGTCGTCCGAGAACACCGGCAACCATTTGATGGTTATCACAAGTAGGTGGCGTATCTGCCTTTATATTTTGTCATGTACGTTTGAGAGAACCTAACCGATTGGAGATAACATTCATTCTTATCAATGTTTCCTCGCACGTGTTTGCCGTTTGTTAGTACTTAGTTCCTGTTACCTTTTAATTTTTATAGCAGTCAATACCTATTTCAATGATCCCTGCTTTTTATGATTCTAGAGTCTAGTTTGTGGCCTGTGCAATAGCCAATAGGCATGACATAATTATTAGTGTTGTCGGTTATTATTATTATTATTCTCGTCTTTACCATTATTTACCAGTATTTATTATACATAGTTATAGTTGTGTAGTTATTATACATTCCCATAACACTACATTTACGTATTTTGAATATGGAAACTGTCAACTGTCACGTGTGTGATGGTACCGAGTACACCCTCATGAACGGGGCATATGTCTGTAACGAGTGTGGTGTGCAATCTACAGTAAGTGTGAAATAGTTCTATTAATAAAATTATCGTTGGTGCGAAGCTGAAAACTTAAAGTTTTACAACAATGTATTTGTATGCGTTTGGGCCACACTTTTTTTTAACGCTGAACCGAGCTCTTCATTTAAATTGTATATACACAAGAACTGGTTCTCTGCAGTTCAGAAGTAGAATGGGTACTGATCTCTTATAAACTTCTAAAGATTATGGAAAAAGATATCGTCCTTATTTTAATATTTTGACCATTTATTGATTTTTTCTTCATCTAATATTTAGACTAAATATCAAAATAATATTTACTAGTTTGTGACCATTCCAAACCCACTTTGTTCTGTTTCCACTATGTTGGTTTTGTTGACAGTTTAAGATAGCCAACTTAACCTTATCGGAGTCTCTTATGTTCAAAAAATACATCTGAACATATAACATTTTTCAGCATTGCACCAAAACTAAAACGTTGTTGAATTAAATACAAATGTGAAATTGTTACATAATTGCTATTTGAACAGGCTATGAGAGAAGAACAAGTTGATTTTAGTGGACATTTGAGGACTGCATTAAGGGAGGAACTTTGTAGAGAAGAAGATCATGAATTAGTTAACAGTACTCAAATCGATAAACCAAAGACATTGCTGTCTTGGGAATGTTTCAATTTAATGCTTTTGGGACTAACAGATGAAATTATAGAACTCGGAGCAGATCCATCTTTGAAAATTATAGTATTACAAATATGGGTTCGATATTTGCAAGTCATTGAAGGCGCATTCACATCCAAAAGATCCCAAAAACTTCCCAAACTAAATACTTGCATTGTTAATACGTAAGTTTTTTATTTTTATTTTTTAGAAGTTAAATACTACGAGAGCTTTATTGTATTATATCGTCATAACTGTTTGTCTAGTAGTCATAAATCTGTAATCTAATATTTTATATTAGAGATGGTGAAATCCTTTATGGGATTAAGAACCTTAAAAGAAAATTGTTGGAACCAAAACATATACAAAAAAGGAGACATGGAAAAAAAGTAAAAGTACAATCAAAAAGAGGATCAGTTTCTGCAAAGTCTGGTAATTTATCAGACTCTATGAATTTATCTCAAACCCGAATGAAAGTAATATTTTTAAAAATTACACTTTTTTTATAAGTAAAATAAATAATTTTTTTATTTTAGCAAAGCCGTCGACTACGTAAAATAGATGCTTTAATGAATTCAACGAATGTTGATACACCTATATCAAATGATTTGAGTTTATTGCAAAGAAGTACAAAAATAGAAAAAGCCAAGTAAAAGAAAAAAATTAATACTTTTTAATGTTAACGAATTAACATAATTAGTCATAGCTCTGCATGTACCCTTATGACCCTTATCCCTGAGTTGTGTGCTGTTGCCCCTGCTTTGTGCATTTATCTCTCTTCTAAGTGCATATTAGTTGCTAGTTATCTTAACAATTGGTTTGCTTCTCATTATACTTCTGAAGTCAGTAGTGATAATAACTCGTTTTTTTTTAGAGTTCAATTGTCGACACTTATGAAAAACGCAATGAAGTCAATGGCTTCCAAAAGTGTGGACTTAACAGATAATAGTTCAAAATTTGTACTTAAAAATATGCAAAAGTTGTGGGAAAAATCAAAATACCAAGACCAAAAAAATCATTTGACTATAAAAAAGTTGATATCAATAATACAGTTAGGTTTAATGATTAACAAAGATAATATTTATATTTCAGATTTGCTCAGGTAATTTGGTGAATTTTCTTCAAGTTTAAACATTTTCTGTAACAAACAAACAAACATTATGTACTTATTTGTAAATGGCTTATTTTTCTTTCCTTTTTTAGATGGATTCATGAAGGCCATTTTCATGTGAACCGTGTCAATTTGTTTTTACCACTAGATGCTCGTCATAGTATTCCTCTATCCGCTATGATACGAAATACATCGAGACATGCTTTAAATTTGGAATTCATTATGTTGTTGCGCTATTTACATTTTAAACAATTGCCTAATATTGATTTACAACAATTGGCAGTTAGATTTTGTGAGGAACTTCAACTTCCAGGTGTTATTGACTATGATTTATTTATTATTTCTATATGATAATATATGTAATATTTTTATTTTTATTATATAGAAGGATTTACTAAGTTTGTTTGTAAATTGTTACTCTTGCTACCGCCAAACATGGAGATTACAACAGTGTTGCCTGACCCCGAGATTAAAGTAATGGCTTACATACTTTTTGCTGCAAAGATTTTGTTTTGTCTTGATGGAAGTACTGAGGAATTCTCTTCAAAGTTTGCAGAAATAATTAACAAGTAAAAACTTATCTTTAAACCACTACTTAGACCCTAGGTATTTAAAGCAACCAGTCAACAAATCACTACATATTTCTTGATTTAAAAATTAAATATATATATATATATTACCGTTCGAGTTTCAAAAGATGATTGTAATTGGTACTTGAAAATACTAAATATATATATATATATATATTTTTTTTTAAATATATGATTAGGTTTAAATAGTATAGAATAATAATAAAAATTACTACATTGCTGTAATTAATTTTTTTAGAAAATAATCGTATACGTTTGTTACCTTTGTTTGTTTCATATGTGTAATGTCATAGCCATAATTTTCAAAGTTTGAGTTATGTTATAGTAAGAAATGTATTTCAAAAATGTAATAGGGTAATTTCATTTTTTCAAAATTAAAGTTTTAGAGTAAGAAACTGTTGGAATATTGTAAAATAATGATATTATTAAGTTTTAATTGGTTAATTTTTTTCTTTAGTATTGTAGATATAAAAAAAGTATAGTATTGTTAAATAAGTTTACTATTACTGAAAATGCAACTTTTTTAAAACTAAATATAACCACATTATAAACAGTATATACGCTGCTGTTGATATAATTTATGTCTTCAGCTTGTATACCATCATAGCAGTGTTGAATGTGTTAAAAATAAAAATTGAATATGCTACTAATATACTATTATGTTATTATAGATCAGAGAATTTGAAAGAAAAACTTTTTAATTGGAACGATTATGTCACATTCATAGAATGCAGAAATGCAGTCGTTTCCAGACACAATTATTTGCTGCATACAGATTTATACGGTGGTAGAATACGCAACACAGAGCTATTTATTAACGATTGGATGATGATGCAATCATCGTTGCCCATACAAAAAAGTAAATATCCAAAAATCTTGTAGTGGGTTATGCTTTTACAATATTTTTTAACTTTCTTTTTATTATATTTTTTTAGGAGGCCAATTAAATAAAAAAATCACTGATAATGCTAAGGTTTTATTTAAAGCACTGCCAAAAAGTGGAGGTCCCTTGAACTTCAGACAAATACCAAACACAACAAAACCGTTGGCTTTTACTCTTCAATGGATTTTTGAAAATTATTGGCATGAATTATCTGAAAGATCTTCTCAAATATTAAAACAAGATTTCGCTCGAACTGATATTTCATATTTAACAAACGAAGAAAGGTGATTTGATCTTTATCTTAAATTATTTGTACTAAGTGTAAACCACTTTACATGTGTCTATTCATTTCATTTGACATTCAATCTATGCTCTCTTCTAATAAAATATATAAAGGTTACTCTATATTATGTTTAATTTCTTTATTCCGTCAAGCTGAATCTGTCATTTAATAATATCTACTTAATTATGGGATTGTATATATCACAATTGTTGTGATTAGTTATACTTAAGTGTATATGTGTTTTTTATTATCGCTTACATAGAACATTTTTGCTTGCTTTTTACAGAATTAAAAATCTATCTCAACAATGTAACGTTCCTATAGAAATCTCATACGAAAAGCCATCACACTATGTGCAAGAAAAAAAAGACAAACATGATACGACTGGTCCACATTGCGGGAAGCATATATTATCCACAGCTATTATCAATGTTAATCTCGTTAATTATACTTTAGTAGATAACAAAATTCCAGAAAATGTACATACAGCAGTTAAAGAAAAACCAAACACTATATTTCTAGGAAAAGGCTATAACTACTGGTCTTTGCATTTCAAAATGAAATTTTTAAAAGACACAAGCATGGCTAAAGTAAATAAAGTATTTGATGAACAATTGCCAGATTCTTTTGTGTGGTTTATGAAACAGTGTCGTAGAGTAATCGATTGTAAATTGACCGAATTGTATATGGAACTCATCAGAGTAGAAAAGAACTTCCAGAAGCTTGTTGCCTGTAATAAGTTGTAACATACATAACGTTATGTAGCTTGACTTTTACTATACTTTTTTTTATTGTTTTTATAAAGTTTGTTTTTAAAATATTTAATAAAAGTTAAGTTATAAGTTGCAATAACTTATCAAATCTAATATTGATTTTTGTTTATAATGTAATTGGTGTATAGTTCATTAATAATATGTATACTGCCCTCCTAAGCAAAAATGCCGTAATTCGAAAAAACATTTTTTTTTGTTAAAAACCGGTTAAACAAAGTAAAATGGTTTCTTACTTGGTTTAATCAGTTTAACTCTTTCGTTACTGACATCCTCGTACGAGGAATTAACTTAAAAAAATTGAATAAAATATCAACAACCTACTATCATTATCAAAAATGTCTTTAAACGCAAGTTCTAGTATAGATTGTTAATAAAAAAATCGACACAGCTATATTGATAATCAATATCAGTTCAATACGTAAAAAAATTGTTGATTTTTTTTCGAAAAAAAAAAATTTCCAGGAACGAAAGGGTTAAAAAAAAAAATGTTTTTCGAGTTATGGCATTTTTGCTTAGGAGGGCAGTATACTTGTACAGTATTATGAATTGTAAAAGTAATACAAATTTTTGTTTTAAGGAATAAAAGAATATTTTATAAACGTTTTTTTTTATAAAGTTGAAGTAATTATATTTCTATGTAAATTTAGAAGAAATAAAAAAGTATTTAAAAGCTATTTAACAAAATGTCAAAATGTATAATGCTCATCTTTTTCAAGCCGTGTAATTAAATTATGACACAGTAAACACTGAAGAAACGCATGGTGTGACAATAGTTTTGAAAACCAATATCGATTTTTCAATATTTGCTGGATATATTGATTAACGTGCACTTTGAATTTCCGTTTTAAACTTTATTGTAAAAATCTTGCAAAAAAAAAATTGCGATTTTTCATATAGAAATTATTAGTGAACTAAAAATAATTTTAAACTTCTGCCACGATTGATACATTGTAAACGTAATGAATAATCCATATGTTTTTTTTTTCAAAATTTAAATCAAATCCTTTTTAATAACTTCCTGTTTGAAGTAGAAACATAAATTTGTATAAAAAACTAGAACCTGTATGCGTTGTAGAGAAGTTGGAAAGCCAAATTGAATATTAGTATACAAATTTTAGCTTATTGTAAAGTTTTAGTGAAAATTTTGCCTATACAATGTGCCTTAATAAATGCTAGTGTAGAAACACTAGGAAAGTGTAAATATAAGTAGTTAACATTCTATTTCTATTTTGTTTGAAATTAACAGCGTTTTAATGGCATTATTTTATACTTAAAACACTAAAAACCATATGATTTCTTTCCAGTGTAAGTAATAATAACCGCGCTTTAAGATCAAGTTAAATACTTGAATGGTTATATGTAAAGGGGATAAGTATACTGTAAACAGTATATATATATATATGTAAGTATATAATATAACTAAACAAGTATAATGCAATAGCGTTTTGTATAACTTTTCTCTAATGATAATGTGTGGCTAGTGGCATAAGCAATATTGAATTCGGGGGAAATGTTCCTAATAACTACCTCTTATTAAATATACTTAAATCGTAATTTTTACTTATCCTTGTTTGTTAAGTTTTACTTTTCAAAAAATATAATTTTGTTATATTCTTTACATTCTCACTCGTGCACGTCGTTTTTGATGTTTTATTATTAATTACCTACCAATGATGAATCGATTTTATACACATAATACCTAATCTTGCGGAAGGAAACGGTAAACCATCATCCACTACCCATGATGCAATTATTGTTACATCAAGAGTTGTCAAACTGATCTAAGGGTCGTAAAAAAAATACGCATAATAATATTATTTCACTCTTCAACTAGATTAACGTGTGCTAAGTAAAACTAATCGGAGACAATATTAAAATTAATATAACAATAGTCAATTTATTTACATAATAATTATGATGTATGTATAAAATTGTATATATATATATATACTATATGTTAATGTACGATATAATTGTATTTTAAATAACATTTTCTTTTTAATCGCCTTTTTTTTATTACAAGTTTACACATTTTGGCGTGTCATTTACTTCGTCACTGTTTTCGCCGTTAAAGTTGCCACACAGGCCGCACGTGTGTCCTCTAAATTTGCTTTCTACTAATAAAAGTACCGTTTGACCATAATGTTGAATAGTTACTCCTGGGTTGATTTCTAGATCGGTCATTTCTTCATGCCATCTTTTTACTCTAAAAATAAAAAATGTCATTTTAGTTTTTTTCAAGCGAGTCGTCTGAAAAGTCGTACGTTCTCCTTACTTGTAAATGAACGTTTCGTCTTTGGGTTTTGGCGGATACTGTAAGCTGGTTTCGGTGACTTCTATTTCGGTGCCATTAATGTACACTCTGACTTTGGAACTGTCGTGTATCATGTCGATGACGGTGTTTTGGGATATCAAACGGACGTCCTGAAAAGACACGCGTGAGCAACCGGACGTTTAATCGATAATAATAGTTGCCAAGTCCCGTTACTTTGCTGCTTACCAGGGTCGAGTTAGTAGGAGTCTTTCTGATACCGACCACGAACCGAGTGGCAGTCGAACAGTCAGCCAGCGCTATAGAATAACAGTCTTGGTTCAAGTCGAAATTGTGTGTGGTCGAATTGTCCAAGTTTAACACGGTTTTCTCGTTGACCGCACAGATTCCTGAAAAAGTGCACGGCGGCCCCGTAAATTGTTACTTCCCGCGTTGCTTACATCAGTCGTTCCCCTTTACTTCAACAAACACCCCCCCCAAGTACCTCTAGTCGTCCACGGCAATTTGGTCGGGAACGTGAATTTCGCCGTGGTCGTGTTACCGTCGTCATGGACGAAGTCCGAGAACAGCGAGTGCATGGTGATTATCATCCAATTCGGTAGCTGAAATTACACACAACAAAAACGTATAGGCGTATAGTTTTTTTTTTTTTGCCGTGTAACAGCGGACAAAATTGAATGACTATGGCGCTCACGTTGACGAACTCTAGTGATATGATTTGGCTGGTGGATATGTCGCTGGCGGTTTGCAGACACGTCGACGAATCGGCTATGCATTGTTCGGGCCATTTCTCGTGCGCGTTCTCCGGTTTGATGGACAATGTCATTGTGGTGGCCGAGTCATGGTATCCCCAGGACACAACGGCTTGCCCGTGCAGTGGCGGTGGCGGGTGCAGGGCGCCGGACTTGCGAGACGGTAAAACGAACGCGCCTTCGAACTGCAACAGTCTCCAATAGCCGTTAGTGATGGTGATGTTGCGCTCTCGATTAGAATGGCTCAGACGGAATGACAGCTCTTGGTTTCCGTCGGCCAGTCGGGTGTAGTGAGAGCTCAGGTCCCACAGCACTTGGTCGTAATGGTTCATGGTCACGTGCATCGTGTTGCCCTCTTGGACGTAGACGGGCATTACCTAATAACGGCAACGGCGTGTCGTGATCATTAATGGATATTTCAGCCGAAATCCAAGAATGTAATGATTGCAATTATTGAACCTGACTGACTAGCGTTTACTAACCTGTAAAGGCGACACGGACAATATAAGGCCGCAGCTGTCTTCGGGAGGGATGAAAGTGAAGTAGTTCGATAGAGAGTAAACGCCCAAGAACGCCATTCCACCCGGTATCGATCTAATGGATTAAGTGATTTTTACCATATTATATTATCATATATTTTAGCGTGTATTTTATACCGTAGATATATTGTGTACCGCGTTGTTGTAATTTACCTGTAATTCTTGTTGTTGATCTGGAAGGCTTCTTTGATGATCATCAGAGAGTTTGAAAATTTTCCATCGTCCTGACAGTCGAACACGGCTGTGGCTATTTTAGCGCCCAAGTCTCTCGATTCAAACGCCCAGTCCTTTTGGAAACGACTCGTATAAACAATTACAGTACTAACAGCAAACTAGTGTATAATTTAATTAAAAATACTTACGTCGTTGAGCAAATCGTTTTTAGTGTCTTTCGTCACTGATTCCTCTAGCGGGAATAATTTAGTCGCCGAATGCCAGACTACGCCGAGTTTCGATCCGTCCACAAAATTCTTGTATCTGTGAGCAGACGCTTTTACGTAGGACCTGTAAAAATGTGTGATGATCTCCGTGGAAAACGGTATCCTCGTGTGAATACACCGAAAACGGTCGGCCCCACGCCAAGTGTTGCTTAGTGGATTGAAAGTTTTCAGACTAGTCACTGTGTCCATGGAGTACCTATAATATTGTCCACATCGGTTAACAGCGCAACGTTAACTATTTATCAAGTTTATATTCGCCTTACCTAAAGTCTAATTCCGCGTCTCTGGACTTGCCGCTTTCCGCTTGTTTGATACTCCCTCGCAGCGACAACAGCGAAGCCGTCCTGAACTGCAAGAGTATCGGTGTGCCGAAATCGGTAAATTGAGTTCTCTGGAACCATATTGGGAATGATAGTCGTTGATAGTTGAAGCTGAACTGGAAGTACAGCGAGCTAATCCTCTTCATCGCTAAAATATGAATTCACGAGTATAAGGAAAAAGTGGAACATTATGTTGACTTGCTTACTATTAGCGAAATTTTCAAACGAGGTTTTGTTCAAATGATGACAGTAAATGGTCTGTTTGTTTATTTTGATTATCATTTCAAAGTGTAATTCTTCATCTTCTCGTATCGTTAGCTTAGCCTTTTCTAACGCTTTCAGTATTTCGGAGACGTCTATAGGCTCAGCGGGAGGTTTGCCAAATGAACTGAATATCTCTTTTTTTATACCGGCGACCAACCCTTCGGCCTTGATGTGAATCTCAAACTCCGAAGACATGCCAAACGAATGCTGTTCAGCCTTCAGTCGCAATACCGAAGGGAAACCTGTGCGCTCGTTGGCTATTAGGATCGTCTGAACGATTCCACCATATCCCCTTACCGGGTCTTCGTAGTCTAACAAATAGTTTCCAGTCGCCCAGTTGTGCCATTTTTGGGCCACGAACCTCACGATTTGTGAAGCTGCTCTACTGCTACAAAGACCAAAAAAAAATTCGAAAACGGTCAGTGCAGTCAATGTCATTGGGTGCAAGTGGTTTTTGCTTACTTTTTGTTATAGCAGGGGTATTTGGAGTTGACCATGGAGTTAATAGTTGTGTAGTAGTAATTGTACATTTGTTGATTTGGTTCCGTTTGCATAAACCAGTATAGTGTCAGTAATCGTGATATTGTCGGCTGGGACATCAGCAACATGTTAAGTGCTGCAGTTCGAATTTCCAGTGGTTCCGAACGATTTGTCAGCAATGGCCAGAAAACATCAGCTACCTGGACAAAATATACCAGTTAAATTATGGACTCGAACAAACTAATTTTATGTTTGATAATCACCTTTTCTGGATAAGTAGTAGTTGCAGGGTTTGATGCCCAAATGGCTACTAATCGGATGTGTCTGGAACGATTGCGGTCGTTGATAATCGGTTGCAAAAAATCTAAAATGTTGTCGATTTTCATATTGCTAAACGCTTCAATGTATAGCATTTGATCTCCATAACTATTCGATTCTGAAATGCAATACACTATATTTTAACAAGGGCCCTAACCAGATTTTGTTACGGGAAAAATAAAATTCACATTTTACTGTTAACTCATTTTTTCCCTAACATAAATTATGTTTTTGGATATGAGTTATTCTCTCTGGAACGTTTTGGAAACAAATAAAATCTCTTTAGTACAATTTTAACGTATTAATTAATTATTATTATCATTGTGTAGGTTAATACTCCCTGAAGACCCACCGCTGCCTTATGAGATGGTTTCTTGGCGAATTCGATTTCGGGACGAATGAATTACAACAGTCATTAAAAAATCATGAAATTGTAAAATAACTTTTAAAAATATTTTAGATATTATATTTCATAGTTTTCTATTAATTGAATAATTTCTATTAATTTAGATACATGATATATTACAGTACGTATATTGAATCGATTGTATTGTTGTTGTACTATTAAAAAAACTCACCGATGAATCTATCCAAAAATAGTTTTATATATTTGTTTTGAGTGTCGGTCGAGCACATGATATTGCCGCAAGTTTTATGTACCAGAGAAGCAAAACATAAAACAGCAACTTTTTTAATTTCGACATCTTTAATATCTTTGTCCAGGTACAATAACATTTCGGATTCTTGTAAGAGCTTCTCGTTTGGATATCGTACATTATAGGGGAAGGTCATTAGAAGTCCGGTAGCCAGGAAACTCTTGACCTTCTGCGTCTTGACCAAATCACGAATAAACTCCACCGAAGAAGCAGACCCCACTTGCGGCAAGAGATCCCAAAAGAAGTGTCTGAAACACGAAATTCATTATAGTTTTTGGGATCTTGCACGTTCTCTTCTTTCAACTACATCCCATATATTAAATCGTACGAACTGTATAGTTTCCTGCGAGTAACTCGTCCCGATTTTGATGGTGTCATACAGCGTTACCCAGTCGGAGGTGTCCAGCCACCACATAAGTTCCAAAGCCCTGAATGCCGTCTGGTTATCCAAGTCGGACGTGCCCAATTCCCAACTGAGACTTTCGGTCAGTTGCCCGAGAATGTCATGAATCTATAAACGCAAACAATATTAGATTAAAAAAATCATACTTTACTACGGAGTTGCGACTAAAAATACTAGTACAAATATAATTTGTTTTACCTCGGTGAGGAGTTGAGTTTTGTTGGACGGCTTATAGCCCAGAGTAGGATCTTCGTAGTGGTTAAAATCGTATTCGATTGCTATTTCGGACTTGGTAAACATCGTTATTGGATCGGTTAACGGTCTGATATACTCCAAAGCAAACGTTTGGCTGAAAAAATCATATTTGCAATACACATAATAAATTTGCTGGTTTGAGTAAATTTGTATTTTCAACTCACTTGACAAATATGCGATGCGCTTCAGCCAACGCTTGAAACGGTTGGAACTCCACCGTACCGATAACGTTGAGACGACGAATGATATTTTTATCATCCAGGGTGTATGATCGGACGCTGTGACTTATGCTTCCATCCTACGGAAATCAAATATTATTTTATATTTCGATTCAAACTTTTTGAACGTTTAGATCGTCTTAATAAATGTCGAGTTATTGGCAAGTACAATTGTACGCAGGACTAACCAAGGCAAAGGCGGCGTCTATAATTAATATGTCAGGACAGCTGAGGACTCGGTAGAGAATCTCTCATACAAAACGTCGAACTCAAGTCGAAAAATCATTATAAAGAGCGCTTTACATAGGACAATTATTAAAGGTTACCTGGTAATTGGAAGGACAAGTGAACGGTGGCGTATTGCCCCACTGTTGGCCGAGTTTATTGTCACACGCGGAAAAATTCACAATTTTCTTTACGTTGGTCACGTTGTTTTCTTTGGTCACTAGATATTGAACACCGCATTTTCCGTGGACGCCGGTCTGTAAATAGTCAAATAGTCATAATTTTATCCATGACCTTAGGATTAGGTCATTATAAGCACGAACTTCTTGAGTGGCAAATGCTGGTTGCGAAAGCGATTCTAGTTTCAACTGAAACATGGCGACTAAGGCCCTTTTTATGTTCAACGAGCCGAAAACGTCTCCGTTCTCGGTTTCTATTTTCTGCACTTCTCCGTCTTTGTAAGCACATCGAAACGGCAGAGTGATCCACGGGAACTCTTGTTGTTTCTCTGACGTTTGGAACTCTTTAATCTAATAATAATAACATATCATTATGTGAAAATACAAGAAGTTTGCTTTGTGGTGACCGAGGATAAACCATCGGATAGTGTTAGTACCTGGAAAGTGGTATAGTTTTGATAGTTTTGGACCGAAAAGTATGCGTCGAAGGAGTATTTTGTGACATGTTTCGAAGGTAGCACGGTGCCCACGTGCGTAGTTGCACTCCATCGGTACCCGAGCTGAAAGCCATCGGGGAACAGTTGGCGATTACAATGGCTCGGATAGATCAGATAACCTGCGTGTAACAAAATCCATCATAATCATTAAAATAGGCTATAGTTATTAACGAATGCGTCACGTTTTGCTCATCTGTTGTTTTTTTTGCCCGTATTGGGAAAATAAGTTATTAATGATGTATTGTAACACGCGAAAGGTTTTTGTAGCCCGACCTGAGGGAATTTTTTTAAACTAAACTAAATGAAATTAGATTAATTAGAATAGAAAAGCCGATTGTGAGAATGATGACGTAATTCATAGCATGTACACAATAATGCAGCGCAGCAATGGCCAGCATAGACCGCGTAACGATCACACACTTTTGGATAGCCTAGATCGTGGAAGGAAAGCATTCTCTACTACGCCGTTTTCGACTAAACTAAAGAAGAACTTTGGCCTTGGAATTATAGCAGTAGTTATTTAATTATTCGTTATATTTTATTCACGATCATGTGCACGTTCGATTCACAATAAAATGTTTAGTAAAAAATAGGCCAAATTAGTCTGTTATTGCAACGGATAAAATGTTCTTATTTCTAAAATTTGTATATTATACAAATATCCGATTGGCTGTGAAATATAGTGTTTAAGTAATTAAAATAACGTTTACATCAGAAAAAAAGAGCACACGTTGTTTTCTTTTGTATCTACTTCATAATAATTAAACATAATGTTCGATATAGTTTTTGGATAATTAAGTGTTCTAATGGGAAATTAAATAGAATGAACAAATTTCATGTGCATCCATAATTTTCTAAGTAGATATTTGTAACACACACATTAGTTATAAATACAAAAATCTATAAAAACAGTGTAAAAGTTATTATACGCTTAAAATTATATTTTAAGTATTAGAAGAACACGATTAGGGGTTTTACCCATGAACTGTAATTAAAATGAAAATATCTTTAAATACATAGCTGGTGACTATTGATTTGACAACGGTCAAAAGGTAATTTTCCCTTTTTTGGGTTGTCTTAATAAAAAAAAAAGTTGGAGTACAGATTTTGATGAAAACCGTATATGTTGTTATCACCACTCTAGATCTTAAACCTTCATCTAATTTTCTGACCTTAAGTCCTAAAACTTTACTGGAAAAAGAGAAATAAAGAAAAAGTTTCCACCCCTTCTAGAAAAAGGCTTACGATATTTTTTTTAGTCTGTCGATGTTTATCGACAGTGCTTTATCTTAAAAATATTCCTTACAAATTGGAACTATTCGATCTTCTCTTCTTCATCTTCGCCTTTCATCTTTGCCCTTTGGACTTATTCGATAATTTTTAAAAAAGGTATATAGTGTCAAAAACAAGAATAGTATGCACCAAGAGATAAATAAAAGAATCATGCGCGGGAACAGGTGTTACTATAGTATAATTAAACTCCTAAAATCTAAATTACTATCGTGGACATCAAAGATACGCCTATACCACAGCTATTTGCGACCAATAGTGACGTACGCGAGTGAGACGCGGTCATTAACAAAATGGCGATTAGAGAACAGAGAAAGGTAATAATATTTGAAAGAAAAAACTCCGGAACATATTTGGACCACGCTTCAACCGAGAAACAAATACGTATGACAGAAGAAAAAATGAAGAGCTACAGAAATTGTACAACAGACCAACCATTCTAGCGTTTATCAGGAATAAACGACTAGAGTGGTTGGACACACTTGTAGAGCGGATGGCCAACTAATAAAAAGAGTACTCGTGGAAAAAATGAACAGAAAAAGACCCCTAGGAATACCCAGGACCCGGTGGATCGATGTAGTTGACAAGGATCTAAAAGCTATAGACCAGAATGTGACATATGAGTCGACTTACTACAGAGAGAGAGATGGATAGACCTATTAAAGGCAGCAATGGTCTTTAATGGACCGGTAAGCTAAAAAGAAGAAGAACTGTCAATATTTTACCTAAGTTCAAAAATATGTACATTTTTTAGGTGTTTTTCTTTATATTTAAAAGGAAAGGGCGAACTTTTTTAATTTTTGGCCAGGCACAAAAATAAAATAAATTTTTTTGTAAAAACAATACCATTTTAACTCCTGAAATTTCATATTTCTACCGTCTACAGATTTGCATTGAAGCGTTTATTTGTAAGTGATTTTATCATTTTCAGTTATAATAATTCCTGAAAACCTGCGACCTCTTCGATCCACTATGCATCGACCCTACTATCTCCTTTTTTTTTGGGAGGAGGGGGGGTACTGGCTTTTTATATAGTTATTCTAACCGTACCTACATGTATGGTGTCTCTTTTAACTATGAATTTTTTTCCCATGATAATCAATACTCGAACTTTAAAAACTTATTATTTCATTTTATAAACCGCTTTAGGGTTTATACTTGACGATTGTTATAAAATATTATTATTTGTAATAGGTAGGTACTGATAATTTTTATTTTAAAACTTTTCTGTTCGAAAACCTACAAGAAAGGATTGTCTATAATTTATTACAAGAACATAATATCCTGTATTAAATGGCTTTAAATTATATATAATGTCATGTATCATTTATAAGTTTAACGTTTGTGGTGACTAATAGCAAAGGCAATTCTCTAATCGCGTTAACAATTTTTTTACCCGTCGTCGGTCACGTGGTGAGAGATTTTCTCAACATAAAATAATGTTCGTCACTACTGGCAATTATTTTTGTTTATGACAAATTGTTCATACATATACCTTATCAATAACATGATAGTCTAAGTATAGAATTATACACACAGAAAAAATGATTAACCGTTTATTATCAGTAACCGTTTAACAGGTTACTAATTAGCTGTTAGTGTACACAAAGTGATAGAATTTTCCATTCGCGACTAAGCAAGTTTTTTATTTTACGATGGGTGTCATATGGATTTACATTTATGAATGATATAGGCTTATAATTAATAATGCGTTTGTGGTATATATCTTTGGGTAATTAGTACAATTTAAGGTTGTATATAAAAAAGAGTGAGAGAACCTCTCATCACACGATCACTGACGTAGAAAAAAAGGACGACACTAACGACGGGTTAAAAACGACATTATTTAGGAAACTTTAAGCGAAAACATTTTAAATGTAAATTGGATACGTTTTACAAGGTGGTACCCGAAGGAAAATTCGATTATATTAGTGCGCAAGTATGCTAATAATTCGGCGTACGTGCTTGGAGAATTTCAAAAATTCTTAAAATTAACTTTAATCGACCCAAAGTATAATTGTAATATATGGTAATTTGCTTCTTACGGAAACAAAAAGCAGCACGAGCTTTTTTTAAAAAAAAAAAAATACTTATCATCGTTATTGTATTTGCATCTAACTCCTCGTTGAGTTAGGGTTAGGCAATATTGTTAACACCCGACAAATGACTAATTTTTATTTCTATACTGTATTTCATTGTTATTACTTTAAAAAAAGCGCATGGCATACTGGCAGTATTTGTTTGTAGTAAAATTAAACATGAAAATTCTAGTGCTTCAACGTAATATTAGGTTATATAAATTTCTCCGTTATCAGCTGTTATGTACACTAGGTAATAATTGATCTACAACAAACCATATCAGTGTTTTACATACTTTATCTTCAGTTTTACCGACATAATAATAAATATTAATTATATAGTATGTTTTTTATGGTACCAAATAACAACAAAATCCTGACCTAAGAACAATAGATGTTTGTATTTTACATGTACCTTTGTAAAATACGGGTACCTACACGTGCAATTAGCACGTGTTCATCGTCCTTATTAATTTCTGTACGAATAGTGAATTCAGATGAAATGATAATTTATTTTTAATTCATAGTATTGGGATTGCATGGTATTGGCAAATACATAACAAATTTCGTTTAGGTTAATATGAGCACAACGAACGGCTCGAACTCCGAAAATGTGGATCTCTACCTAATTTATCGTTTGTTCTTAACATTCTAATCATTATATGAAAATGCATCGAACAACTAAAGTCTAAACCAAATTTGGGTAATTCAGGGTGGAAATAAAAATGGTTGGAAATTTTAATGTTATTCAAAAAGTTGTTTATCTGGAAATGGTCTTGGCAAGTTCGCTTAACTGAAAGTCTTCAAAGATATGTGATACATCACTTGAATATTAAAATCCATACGGAAAACAATGGGAAGCAATAAATGTAACAAAACTTGTGAAGGGCGTAGTACAAATCCAAAAACCATATGAAATAAAATCAGCAGCAATTTATGCAAATAAGGATTCAAAAATAATATATGAAAAAAAATTAGTGTCAGGCTTTGATTTACTTATTTTGTACTACTGAGATATTATTACTTATGAGTATAGACAATTCTTGTTTTAACAGAATTATTTGTTCTAGGCATGCCATTATAGATCAATTCATAACGATACAAAAATATTATCGGAACTTTAAATCTTTGGCTTAAATTTGAAATATTATCTATTCATGTCTTTTTCAAAATAACGTAGTAGTGAAGATTGTAATTGCCAAAATATACACATTTAATTTGACTTTACGATAAAAATATAAAGTATACTATGAAATAATAAGTATGTATAAATAATATGTATATATTTTGAAGAACGTGTAAACTTACATTTATATTTTGTGTATTTGTCAGTAATTTTGCTGACTTCGAACTAAAAATAGTATTTAGTGGTATTATAAAACATAAATTATTTTTGTCTATGAATATAACTGTGGTATACAAAAAATATTATGCAGATAATTTTTGATGATAAATAAAAGAGCATCGATGCATTTTGTAGTAGGTATAAAATATTACAATGGTTTATGGTTCCCAGTATCACGTGTTAATTGTTTTCGATTTATACAGGCCAATTGCTCGGTAAAACTATCAACTTCAATTATTATGTAATAGGATAATTTAAAAAATGTATTCAATTTTGGGAGAACCGCTGTATGCCTGTATGGTTGCTCTAACAACAATATGTATTGGCTTTCAGCTGACGATATAGTCAAATGTGAAAACATTGGTTGACAAGCGTCGCTTGTTCACTGAACATTCCTGGACGTAGACAATAAAAAATGTATAAATAAAACTAACTGTTGACACACTTAATAAACAATCATTACAGACCATATTAATGATATTAAATTGCGTGACGTGTTAGCCGGTGATAATATTGGCTTAGTCATCAACTGAGGTCGAAATCGTAACATAATAATTATGTAATACCTACACAGTCATAATTATAATATTATTCAAGAACTAAAAAAAAACCCTGAAATCGGTGTCTTTTTCAACGCTTTAATGAGATTTTTTACCGAAATATGAAACTCAAAAACTCCGGTTTTACGTTACTATTGAAATTTAAATAAGCCAAAAAAAAAAAAAAAATAGCTGACTTTTTATATATATAAAAAAAAAACATAATAACAGAGACTAAATTGTTTAAGATAAAGTTTCAGTTGAAATCCAGAAAGGATGGTCGTATCAATTATGTAATTCTTCAAGCGAAATAATATAATGATTACACTACTTGTAAAATGAAATGACGAATTGTGGGTAATAACTGACGTTTTTGAGGGCAGGTAGGGTACATATACATTATTTGGTAAACAAGTTCAGGTCATTAGTCATTTACTTCACTTTTCACTAATAACCATAATGGTTCAAGCACAAATTACACTATTGTTCACCACGCAACATCTGTCTTATGTATATCTGGCTGTTAAAAATAATCTTTCTGAATAACCTCTAACTCAATAATTGATTGGTAAGCTATAACCAATTCGAATCGTTTGTGATTTTAACTGTTACCATTTGCGACTCTATTACATTGATTTTATTGTTTGATTATGTTTATTATACCTTAATTAAATTAAAAATTAATTATATTCATCATTGAATTTATCATTGAACTAAATGAAATTTAAAATTTATCAGCAATATCGTGCGGTCTGATAACCTTTATAAACAAATATTGAATAATATTTATATATATATATATATATTTAAATATTTTTTAAATATATATAAATGGAAAACAAATGTTCATTTATGACCCAAATTTAAATCCGTCATCATTCATCGCTGATAAGGTGATAAGTGATAAGTGATGACGGCTTTAAATTAAGGTTTCGTAAAAACTCTGAAATGCAAATATTTCACTTGCTTTAATTGTAATCAAAGTTTTTAAAAATTAGTTTTTTTTATGTTTTTAAAGATAAATATCTAGTTTAACGTTTTGATAATGTTCTCTGTGGAATTGTAAGTATATGATATTGTGTTCATGAGTACCAGCCCAGTGTGTTCATAAGTTACCATATTGGAGCCGACTTTCCAACAATTCGCTTTTTTAACTATTATTGATTCCGTCTAGGCGAAAATCATAAGCCAAGTTTCTAAGTTTCTATGAATTGTACAGTGGATGTAATTCGACTAATCTTGTTTTTCTCGTGTTTTCTTTTTTTAAGATATAGGTATGGAGTGCAATTCTATGACGTCACTTGATCCCCCCGGCGGTTTTGCGCGCGATTTAAATTACTAAACCTTAAATACATTTATTTGCTCGTGCTCAAACTCGGATTTGCAGTATTTTGTATAACGCGAGAAATCTGCTGGCGACCTTTGAATTTTGCAGCATTTATGAAAATTATATTTTTGTATTCCCACTAACATACGCGGTTCTAACGCGCGTGTCCATGTGTTAAAAACACGCACAATAAAATGACGGATAACCTTTTGGTTCACGGTGTAATACAGCCGTTTACCCCGACACTGACACGGTTTCGTAACCTACATTTTGATCGAGCTACACCGGAAGTACGTTCACTTACAGGACACGAAGGCGACGATGGCGACGATCCTCATCGTGTCGCCGGAGGAGGACATGGCGCCGCCTTCAGCGATCCAGAATATGCGTTTCGGTGACGATCACTGTCAGAATTAGTTTCAACTGTTGTCGGTGTTAACGGTGTCGAAAAACCCGTACTCAGGGTTGGCGGTATCGAATCACGTCATAACGGTCTGGGATGTTCCGGGGCTGTGCGTTAGTGCCGAAAAAGGAATCCCAGGGTAGAAAAACGAATTCAATTTTCCGTCAGCTGAATCAAATAACACTATGCACACTCGGAATTAAAAAAAAAAAAAAAAAACATTATATATTTTTTTATAAAGGTTAGAAAGTTGTGTTCCGTTGTTATCACGTCGCACAGGTATACTGGCGTTCGGTAGGAAACGAGCGGTCGTCGAGTCGGCCAATTTCAGACGTCTGATCGACCTATGGACCTTTACGCGTGTATAGATTGTGTGTTATCTGTACCGTCATTTTTCCTATAATAATATTAACTCAACATAATACGTTAATCATATTATTCATACATAATACATTATCAATTCTAACTTAACACTAAAGCGTACACCCATGCTTTAATACAAATAAAGCGAGGCAGCGTAACAAAATATATTATCACCGTGGGTACAACTGTACAAGGCTTAAACCATTTTTTCCCTGCCACTTTCAGACAATATTATGTTCTACGCGCTATTTTTCTTCATACCGAATTCCTGCACGCAGACAAGTATGTACATTAATGTTAGGTACCTAAATACATAGTATACCCTACACATTCTACCTAATTTGCCGGTGCCACGAATCGATTACTATCGATGTTCGCATCAAGACCGTTTTAGACTATTCATAATCACCCGATTTTATTATCTACACGCATGACTGTACTATAAAGTGTATAATATATTGAAAATTATTTTTGATGTATAAATACATATTTTTTTTGTAGTAACGTTCAAATCTAAGAAATTTTGTAATATAATGCTTAAAATACAATTATATATTTGAAAAAAAAAATGGTATTGTAAAAGATTATTAAAAATGTTTTTACGAAGTTGAGATTTAAAAATATTTTATGTACATTTGTTTTGTTTCAAAGCGAGATTAGACGTTCTTCAAGCTCGGGTCTTTCTCTCCTTAAATGTAATTTAATCTTATATGTATTGGGCCTTTGATTTCAAAGTAAGATACCTTATACTCTTGGTTATCCGATCGAATTTCCCTTTAATTTAATATTGCAACATTGAAATATCATTGTATAATAACTCAGATTTCATCTTTAGTTCTCGTTGGTTATTACTTATTTCTGCATTTTATAAGCTACCGTTTTGGAATGAAATTTGAATAGTAATGAAAAAAAGTTCACAAGTTGCATCTATAAAAATATAGATTAAATATATATATATATATATATATATATTTAGTATGTATATTCTAACATTATAATTATATTCTAGATTACACATAGGTCATTACTTAGTTATTTCTTAAAAATCATTATGATTTCTAAGAAATTTAAAGGAGAAAAACCTCAGTTACCACACCGCACACGTACTAAAAAAAATCGACTGAATTGGCAATTAACCATCTAAATACAATTATTATTTTTGTTACTTCAATTCGAATGCATCATATAAGACAATGTAATAAATTCAATAGCTAGACTTTAAACATGTGATCGATACGTTAGCCATAAAGACCTCGATATTTTTTCGACACTGTCCACTGAAAATTTATCATTATTGTTATCGAAATTTTCGTTTGCGTTTTATAATATTATATTTTTAAAACAATAATATTACATTAGTTTTGTGATAACATTCGGTTGTTATTTTTAGGAATGAGGCATCAAACAGCAAACCGCAACATTACCAATTATGAATCATTGGGATTTTCACTACATATATTACATAAATTATATGAAGGGCATAGGGGAACAACGGTAGTAGTCACATTATGAAAATTGTTTTTCTTCAAATAGTTTTTTTCAATTTATGTCATTAATTTTTTTTATTTATGTCAATAGATTGTTTAAATAAATACATTTTTTATTAGAATAGCATTTATTGTGATTTTTTTTGTTCTTATGTAAAAGGGAGAGGAATTCACGAAATTTGTTTTTGCTACACTCTAAAATTTTCATAATGTGACTACTACCGTTTTTCCCTTGTGCCCTTCATATGCCTGTATTTCTACTATATAATGTCTAAATAAAGATGGATTTATATTTTATACATAAAAATAGTTTAGTCTATATGAATTAAAGTACCGAAAATAATCGGTAAAACAAAATTTTGAGATACGAATTAAAAATATATATTCTTTAAATTCCTACTGCCTCCAAATTGTTATCAATTTGTAGATATCCACTTTGGATAACTAAGTCAGTTAAAAAATACAAACCTTCATAAAATGGTAATTTTAATTGCATTTCAAAATATCTACGTACTACTTATTAAGTAAAAAATAAAAAGATGAGTGATTTTTATAAAATGCTATTTGTCTATTGATTATTATTGTATTGGTGGAATTAGGTGTGGCGAGGGTAAAACTAAGTTTGATGGTTCGTACAAACTCGAACTTTATCGTACGAATATTACTTGACTACACCGTTTCATGGATGGAAGAGCGCAAATCGCAATTATCGAGGGTGAATAGATTGCCAAATTAGGAGAATGCGAACAAAGTACTATGTTAGAGGTAACGAAAAGCACTGATGGTTACTTGATTAAGTTAGTACAACGAAATCAGTTTACAGGACGAATAGACAGAAAAAAAATTGCTTCGATGGTCAATTTCTATTATGGATTTTCATTTTTCGCATACGATGTACCTATACAACATGTTGAACAGAATAGATTTTTCGCATTGCTCACGATCGTTTTCAAATGTACCTCTGTACATCATAAAAATAATAAAACTAGTAATATTATCACAATGACCGCTAGCACCTTTAACAGATGGTAATTTTTCCATAATATTTGTGAACTGTGACAGATCGGACGGATTACATGCGGACGTATTAGGAATATTATATGCGGTTAATTAGGTACCATTTATAATAGTTATATTGATCATTGGTCAACGGCGCGGCGCCTATGACATCTAATTAATTGTTGTGCGATCGATGGATAATCCGCAGTTGTTGCTGGAAAAGGAAGACAGAATTGTAAGGGAAATCGATTTCAAAAGCACAATGTGGCTTTAGTTGGTAATAAGTAATAACCAACAACAACTACTATAAAAATACATGATAGTACAAAGTGTATTATGACCGCAATGATGATGCCAAGACGTTTAAGCCCACAAGTTTCCGTATCCCGAATCACTTAGAAGGTAATTGAAGTGTTTCTCTTTGCGAACATTTTCCCGTCACTTTGTACGGGCAAAACTTAGTACTTTTAAGTCTAGCCGCTTTTATGTACCGAATATAATGTAGGTAAAGTTTTTCTTTACCTACAGCGAGTTTTTTTTAGTTGCTCTACGTTTAAAACAAGTTTCTTTTATTTGTATAGTGTTTTAAACACAATAATCTTTATTTAAATATTATAATAATTTGAATTATTCCATCATGTAATTATAGATAGATCACTTGAGTCTATAATATTATAAAACCGGTACATAAATATATTAGATACAATTTAGATTGGGTTTATTTTGTGCGATAAAATATGTGGTATTTGTGTTCCAACGTAGTAAAACGATTTAAGTAACTAATCACTTGTTGGTTGTTAGTATTTAAATTCTTAACATTAAACAAAGGTTCAATGTGACATTGTGCCCTAGGGCATAAAAACAGTAACAGTTTGTAAGTGGAAATGTATGATCCTGACCTTGGATTGTAGGACTAAATAGATAATTGTTTTTTTTTTGTATTATTAGTCAAGTTTAATAAATAATATATCAAATACTAAAAAGTAAAAATACATCAATGAAGCTGACCCAATGATAATACATTTTCAATTTCGTATGTAACTTCTAATCAGCTTTTGTCTATCGTATAAATAATTAATCTGTTATCATACTTAATACATTATCTACACAGCATTGCATGGCATGTGCTATTAATAATAATGTAGTACATCCAAGACGGACTTCCCGTCTTACTAATGTAGGCGTTGTGCGCATAATAGGAAACAGTAGAGAATCTGACAGAACTTTAGACATTTCTGCAGACCGTCATCGTTGCTAGGTACTGCAATACAATACAACAACAATATTATTATTATTGTAGTACACTGTGTATGATGTAATTTCCATTAGTAGGTATGGATCGCGTTTTGTTGTATTTTGAATTTAGCCAAGCAATAGTAATTAGTCACGATCCAAAATTATACCCACACGTCATATACATGTATTTTAATTTATATATGTTTTAATACAGATTAATTGATTATCCGTGTCCGATTAGTGTCTGGACACGAAAATGCTTGTCGTTTTTTTTTTTTTAAAATAAACCACTCAATTTTGTTTATTTTGAATAATTAAGTGCACATATTCCCCAAAATGGCATGCGCGTCACGTGAGGTTCTGTGATTTCGATAAATAATATATTTGAAAATTTTAATATGAATTTGTTATAAATAATATTGTTGATACTGTCGGGTCTTACTAGATAGGATCCTACCGGAATTGTTTCTTTATTTTATTGTTACCTCTTATCGTTTCATCGTGGCCTATCCATCGCCGCTATTCTGCAGTACAAACAGAAAGTTTCTACGTCAAAGCATGGAGTTTTCATTGCTATAGTTCTAAAAGTTCCAAAAGGTATATATACGGTACTCGGTAGCGACATTATAATGCATTAGAAAGAGGTTTGCCGTTTATTTGCTATAACAGTAGTCAGTAACCCAAAAGCGTTTATTAAACTAAATAAGGACAGGGGTTCAGGGTTATTGACACAACTATTTGTCGTAAAACTGTAGAATAAGTGAGTAATACAAAAATCGATAAAATCGAACGCCATTTGATTCGGATGCCCAAGAAAATATAAATATATACTTTATACTTTAACATTCTTACACATTATTTTTTCGTTATCAAAATCCAAAACCATACTTTCTATATTGCCGTTGCATACGGTTTATCATAGCTACAGTATACTGTAGACGTGAGGCTTTCAACGTCTACATAGATATAAACAAATAGAAGCTACTGTTTTTAAGTCTTGAAAAAATTATATATTAATAAACAAATTTCTAAGTAAAAATGTAGTAAAAAAAAAAAACGATTAGAAATTATTCAAAGTTTTCTAATTCAATTTTGACTTTATAACAACTTTTTCAGCAAATATTTGAAATTAACATATATTCTACAAATTGTATCTAAAATGAGTATTAATTAGATTTGTTTACACATATGGATTGAAGTTCGGGTTGTGTGATTCCACCTCTGGTGTTCTGTACTTTGCAAGTAGCACGGTGTTCAGGATCAGAGGTTTAATGAAATATTTATTCACATCAGAACAAATATATTGTCTTGATAAAGGTACACATATTTACCATAGCTCTCGGAAAATGTTTCATAAAATGTATTAACTATGGAATAAAATAATTAAATTTTTATAATGATAACGATAATAATAGGTAATAATAATGAAAAGATGAATTATAATAACACTGTATGGATGAACTATTTCTACGATTCGTAAAACGCTAATAGCGCGCTCGGCTCCTATAAAGATGGTTGATCTTTTAAGCGTTGTTGATGTTGTCGTTGAAATGAGCTGCGACGGTGTCGGACGGTTTGTGGGCATTTTTCTTCATCGTCTCGAACCGACCGAAACCGGTAAACGAGTCACCTTCAAAACCGGTCGCGTCCATTTCGGGCCGGCGCTTCATCGTGTCGAACCGGTCCATTCCGTCGGTGAACGAATCGCCGTGGAAACCGGTCGCGTCCATTTCGGGCCGGCGCTTCATCGTGTCGAACCGGTCCATTCCGTCGGTGAACGAATCGCCGTGGAATCCGTTGGCGTCCATTTCGGGCCTGCGTTTCACCGCAGTAGTGTTCGGGTTTAGGCGACGCAACAATTTGGCCACGGCTGGCGAAGTCCTGGACACCGACCTAATGACACAAAGCAAAAAAAAAAAAAGAAAAAACAACGGGTAATAAAGACAACGTATCCTGCCAAATCTTCTCCCCACCAAAGAAAAAAAAAAAAGGCAAATCAAATTTATTTCGAATGCTGATTTAAGTAAAATCACTTCAGGTGTCAATAAACTAGCATTTATTAATATACAATATACGCAGGCGATTTTGCAATAACACTTAACATTGAGCTAAAATTTGTAAACTCTTAAAAAAGTTTTGAAGTTAAGTCTGGTCATACTGCAGAAAACAGTGGACGGTATTTGACTGTTCACAGCTAATCGGGATGAGCGTTATTCTATACATTCTTTTTTTTAAATAGTTATCCAGAGTAAACAATTATTCATACCTTACATACATTTTATTCATTATTATTGATTTTCGTTCATTATTCATTAATTGCTTGTTCATCATTCATGAACAAATATATTTTGTTTATTATCACCGAATTTGTACCTATGTTATTAATGACCGATTTAATCATTATTCGAATAATTTTGCCTATACTTGGCTGCGTAGAACTGTATCTGTTAGGAATAAGCTATTCAAATGTGGATTTAATTTAACCATTTTGTAACTAGAGGGAGTGGACTGGGAAATTTCAGACACTTTAGGTAACTTACCTTGGCCTACTTAGTCCAACTTACCTTGGATTCATTTTGATTTAAACTCTCCTAGCTCCCTACTATCTAGTTGATCCAATAAATTGGACTATTAATTAGAAAATTATGTACATTTTTTCTTTATTTTGAACGAGAAGGGAGGTAATTTTTAAACGTTAGCAGTGTTGATTACTTTTTGTACTATCTATAGATTTGCTACATAAATAAATCAGTCTAGTGGTTGAACATTTATCGTGGGTTTTAGACAAGAAATAGAAAATAGAAAAAAAACTAAAAACAAATAATATTGTTAAGCCAACCATGCATCAAAGTTAATTGTATACAACATAAAAAATTTAACTTTTTAAATTAAGTAAAATATACATAAATAAATAATACGTAATTTATAACTTTTTTTAAAGTTTATACTTTATTTTGTAATGTTTAATATTTTCTTAAAAATTAGAAACTTTTATATAAAGGAAACTTCTTCATAAATTCTTTATAATATAATTCAATTACATGATTTGTGATTTGAAATAGACTTGGACTGTTATAATTAAGTTTTTTTAGTATTTAGCTTAGCCTTGTCAATCTACTTTCTTTAAATTAAAGAAAAACTGTCATACTCAAAAATTAAATTACTTTCAAGGACCAATTATTTTTTTTAAAAATTGATAGTATTTTTTAAGTGTCACATGGCGTGGTAAGTATAAAATTAACACGTGTTTCGTTATTACAATATATTTGTAGTTATATTATGTCCTTTTACTTAAGTTAAGGAGGTTCATGGGTTTTTGAAAGTGCATTTTCAAGTTTTTAAATTTTCCTTGAAACATTTATAGTGAGTGTTTGTTTTGCTCTGATCTTTTTTGCCGTTTATTTGATAATTTTTTTTGTTTTTAATTAAGCGGGGTTTTAAGAATTCACTTAAAGTAATGATACTTAAATTATATTTTATGTTTTTTTTTCACTCGGCAATTATCATTGAGTTAATAATTCATTTAATATAATCTTCATCGGGCTATATTATTTTTACGGTGATGAATACAAAATAAACTAATTAGTGTGTACCATACTTGCGCTGCAATCAAAACGAAATAATAAGTTAATTTCTTTAGTTCAATTGTTCTAAAGTTTTTTTTAAGAAAAAAATGTTAAAAGTAGTCAAGCTTCACTTAGTTGTTACCGCGGATGCGACATGCTATTACGACGTTAATACTTAATTAAAAATGTGTTTGCTTCAATTATTTAACGTTATTTTCAAGTTAATAACGCTAGAAGCAAAGTCTTGACCCCGAAACGTAAGTACTTAGTGAGAAGTCAAGAAATGGGTAACATTGCGGTATAATGTATGTCACCGGGATGTCGGTTTGTGTTAAATTTCAGTAGAAGTGTTGTTAATCGATAACGTAGGTTAATACAAGCAATGTGTTGCAACAAAACATCATACAAAATATAAGCCGTAGATACAATAGAGTTTTCATGATAGATATGATGTTCAATAAGTAACACGGTCCGTGTCAAATAAGTATTATGGAAACGGTATATTTGCAGCAGGAATAATACAATTATATCGATAATATTGATAAACATTGTACCTATTTCTATAACTGGCGAGCTAAAAATATTAGGATGCGATAATAAAATTGTTCTAATTTTAGTATTGTATTTGTATGATCATTGATCTCATTATAGCGTCGTGTGTTTTTTTTAGATAAATTACAACATTTTTCCACGTAATTTGTGATTGACTACTTTAAACTGTTGTATTTACGCGTTTGATTAATGATCGAGACCAGGTCTTTTTATTTGCTTTAATGTGAAGGCCGAACAACTATTTTAACGTTTATGGCGGTTATATTGGGTCGTGATTCCTTTTTTTCGTCTAAACTTTTTTTTTAATTCCGTTTTACGAGACTCGATAATCATCACGGTTTTTATTTTAAAACTCAATTGTATGGTACACGCAACGCCGACTTTCGACTACACAAAGTCTTTACAGAGTTTTTGATCTGTGAAATTAAAAAAAAATTCCTCGAGGAACTATCTCAGTTTGCATTACCGTCTCTGATGAAAATCGCTAACAAATGGACGCGTTATGTATTCCAAAAAGGCAAAATTAAATCACTTTGCAGTATAGAAGTTTGCAGATGTCTTTATTTTATTTATTTCATTAATTATTTATTCTGATAGTTTTATTCGACCACAACCGTTACTTTCTAAAATCAAAAACATGTTTTTTTCCTCAACTTCAAATTAGTTCTGAATAAGATATTTTGCAACAAACATTTAAACGTACATATATTGATTTTTTAAAATTTGATTTCGACAAGTTTTTTTTAAACATTTTCTTGGTCACTATTTGTAAGCACTTCTCTTTTTTATTATTATTATCTGATTATGAAGTTTAGACTTTAGACGTTAGCACGTTCATTTAGTATTCAGAACTTTTGGAACCTATCCCGCGAGACATCTATATTATTTATCGTTTTAAAATCTAATTTTGGCTTGTCCTACTTCCCATACTTCAAACAATCTAACTTTATACCTACACCACAACACTATTGCTGTAAGCTCGATTTTATTGTAGACGTGTAAAGAATATGTATACTATGAATTCAAACTCTTAGAGAGTACTGAATGCTACCAGAAGAAAAAGAACAATTCTTTACTTCAAACCCACGACATTCAACTACTTTTCTTACACCAATGATTTTCCTAGTTTTCCGACGTTATTGATTATCGACGGCCAAATGTACATAGACAATATTCACAATCGGTTTCTGTAATACATTGTGAGTAGTATCATTTCAAATGAAGATTTAGTGAATGTGTAGATTGTGGTACTTCATTTAACACGAAAAACGTGTTTTAATCAATTAAGCCGGTAGACAAATCCGTCGATAATAATAGGTTTGAGTATCTATTTTTTAAGCCACGTAGGATGTTTTCTATTGATAAAAATAGAACTATCGTTTTCTATCGAGAGAAAAAAAAAAAGCTATAAATTTAAAGGCCGTTGCAATTTTTACCTTTTTAACGGTTCGAACATCCCAAAGCTTTGATGGAATATGTCATCGCTGAACCCTCTAGAAGTAATGCCTTGCGGGTAGTAGTTCCTTTTGTACTTGATTGACGGCCACTGAAAGTCCGGTTGTAGCCCGTCAAACACGTACTCGTGAAAGCCTCTGGCGTCCATTTCTGTGGATAAAATACAACCTTGTCATAATGTGATACGCCGTTTTTCAAGAGATGCCCTCTTCTGACTAACCAATTTAATTGTAAAAGAACATTCATACAACATTAAAGATTAAGGTACACTTGTACATGATGCAATTTTGAATAATGTTATAAAAAAACTTAGATGTATGACTTTTATTTTACGTTAAAACACTACTCCATCGATAAAGTTCTTCTTTATACATTGTGAAAATGTTATACGGTTACTGTAAATACCGCCCTCATATTCTTCACAATTCGTTCACACAAAATATTTCGTATTAGGTAGCTTAAAATGTAATACACATGTTATGGGATGAGTTGTCCTGTCAAAGCATCAGATTTCCTCTGAGATAAACTGATTTGAAGGAGATCGGTATCAACCTCCTTTGGGAGACAACGTCGGAAAAACGGAATACAAGAGCTAACGTATGCGAGTTTGTTAATCCAACTTGGTATTATTTGCCAACACATACTTGTCTAATGCAAAGCAGTTTTGATGGGAAAGATATTGTAATTTATTCTATAGAAATGACTGATAATCTGACAAAAAAAATGGCAATCAATAAAGAATCCTCATTACTATACAGTATAGTTCTAACTCTAAATTAAGATTTTGTATAAAATTGCCTATACTTTACTCCTTAAAATTAACGGAGTGGCGTCCTACTATGCCTAAAATAAGTATAATACAATATTCGATATTATACATTATGCATTTTTAATAACATTGATACTAAAAATACGGGATAATAGTATAAATAAATTTATCGATATATGGTTAAGTATTTAAATATTTTTATTCTTAATTGTAAGTTTTTTTTTGTTAAAGTAGTGTTAAGAGTGATTTTAATTTTGAACCCCTTTTTAATGGACTAAAGTATTAAAAATATTTGTACTACAATAATTTAAAATTGTTCAATTATATTATTCAAAGTAAAACGAGAAGAACATATTTGACGTGTGACTTTAATTTTGAAATTTAAATTGAAAAAAAAAAGTGGCAGCAATATTGATAAATGGGAATGTACAATGGGGTGTGAAGCCCTTTCATGTGTTAGTGAGAACCAATTTGCGTTTGGAATGCAAATTTTAATACTTAATTACGTATCAGGGTTTTTTTTCCAAATCGCACACTGCGTGTTACTGAGTAAGACAAAATAAATATTTTGGGATATTGATGAACAACATTTTGGAATTGATATCAATGAAAAATCACAATATATATTTCACTACAAATTTGATTTAACACATTTTATGTTTTTGGCTTTAATTTTTAATTATTTATGCATTTGATAAACATATTTTATATATTTCGAAATAATACACTTTTTTGAGACGACGAAGTTATTGTAAGAGTATTAAATATGTATTTATCATTAATAAATAAAAGCTTTATTATAAACTGAAAATAATAAATTAGATGGTTGAATTACTTAGTACAAAAACCAGATAAATCCTTTTTTTTTTTCTAAAATAACTTTTCTCTGTGAGCTACCTACTTTGTTTTTGCACCGAGTCTTTCTATTATCAATTTGATTTTTCATTAAAAACAATAATGGGCCATAATAAAATAGTATAAATGTAGACATTTTTACTACGGTTTTTCAACACATTTCTGGCTTCCTTAGTTTAGTGTGAACATAAATAGAAGCCATTACCTGGAAACACGGGAGTGACGAAATGTTTGTTGCCTCCTTTGAACACGTAAGTCCTGAGATTTTCGTTGGGATAGCGGCCGGATTCTTCGGGGTTGAGTTCGTCCCAGTAACGTTGGCTTCTGGAATAGTCCAAAACGGCGGCGACCGTAGCCAAAGAGCTGGCAGCCACCATCAGAAACACTGCGGTCCAGTACGTCATCGGAAACCCTAATTGAGCACTGCGAACACAATGGCCAAGTAATGTAGATCTTGAATTAGGTGTATAGTTAATAAACGAAGTTTAGAGATCCTCCTATTTAGCGAAGTCGTTTTACTTGACTCGCGGGAATCGCGTGCAATTCACGAGCAAACAGAATACTGTGTTCGTCGTACTTATCTAAGATATCATGAGCTTGTTGTAGGTTTTAACGACAGTTATTCGAAAAGTTGCGCTGTACACGGTTAGGCTATGTGTAACAAGACTTTAGCGCTAAGAAAAGTATCGTTGCAGCCGTTGTTGTTCCACCGAGACTTTAATTTGTTAACACGTGTATTTAAAATTGTTTTCAAGACATAACACGTTTAATTACAACGTACGCGACAGACTTTATGCATGTTTTTAGTTTTACGTTTTCGTTTTAATTCAATCTTTTTTTTTGAACATTAGAAATTGACGGGGCCTTTTAACTGGACGGGGTTCTACGTATACGTTATTAACACATTCGTGGACAACTATTGCTATAGCAGTAGTTTAAGCAATTGATGTACATATAGCACTACTGTTATGACAGTATATAGGAAGATGTGTCACAAGAGAAGTGGATCGACTGAAGGCCACTTATCGTTCGGCTCGACGTCGCAATAGTCGCCTTTTACGACAGCCGCGAGAACCTTGGAAGTATTCTTTCTCTCCTATCCACAGGGATAATGAATGAACGTATGTCTGTTTGTGTATCCTTTATGCATTAGTTGTACACCGTTCGATCATGAACTTAGGAAAGTTGTTGAGTACACTCCCGCGAAGGTAACTGGCATAGACTTTTCGAAAATTCTACCCCTAAGAGTGGCCTCAAGCACGAATTTTGTACTTCAAATACGAAATATTTTTCGTTGCTAACCCAAAATAAACACTTGGTTTGTAACCATGGTAACCGCGGTACTCTATCGAATGGTAGGTGATGATTAAAGGAACAAGCCGATTCTATGTACCACGATTTTGGGGACGCTATTAAACATTTTCACGATTGGAACTGGGATTGGGATTGGGACCCATGAGTAAGAGGGGGACATAATCAATATAATGTAATGTACATATTATGTAGATCCAAAAAAAAACCCAGACGGGGTATGCTAAAGCTTTACAATATACAGCATGACTTTTTTTAACCTATTTGTAATTATTTTAGCCCTAGCAAACTAAACTTAAAATATTTAAAATTATAAAATGTGTAAACTACTTAATACTTGAACAGATGACGGCATGTAAGATAAAAACTAAGGGATGACAATGTTTTTAATAATTTTAGATATTTTTTTCTACCAGAATTGGCCTTTTTTGTTTCCAATTCAAACATTGTTTAAGTATGACTAACATAATTATAACAAATACAACGAATATAAACAAGACAAAAAAACCTATTATATTAATAAAAACCACCTACTTTATAAATTGGGTTTTAAATTATTTTTTCTTGAGACGCGAGTTTCAAACATGTTCGGACTTAAGCGAAAACAATTTATATTCTACACCCCACGTTACTCCGGTAATCGGTAAACGATTATTTTACCATCGCCTCAACGTTTGAAATTTTGGAAACGAATTCAATATGAGCGATACCGATTATACACCGCGTCTACCTCGCGCGATTGGAATGTACAAACAATATGACTAAAAACAGTGTTGAAAAAACGGTTACAATATTCTTTCTCTAATTTTCTCTTGGAGAATTCTTGTTTTTGTTACAAAAATACAATGGGAGACGACGGTAAATAATACCCATCAACCACAGGCGATCGTAGCCTTTTTAAAACTTTTTTTTAATCTAAAAATATCGCAGACTAATATTTATTTTCTTCTCTCCGATTATGCACTCAATAAAGCTGAAACGTTTTTTTATGATTCATTCTGCTTACTACTTGTTAAGTTTTTTTTTAAAAAATGATTTTGATTATAATAGTTAAATATTTCGATATCTACCTGTGACAACTTACAAGTTTTATTAGTAAGGACGTCATTTAAATTTTTAAAAGATAGGTAGCATTTGAAGCTAGTCAACTTTCCTTTCAACCTGGGACCATTCCAAGTTCGATGACTGATGAGTTTTCCCATGATATCCAAATGAGTGTAAATAGTGCCCCAGTTTGATAACGGGGAGACTTTGTTATTAAAAGGGTCCAAAAGCTGCCCCAAAAATAATCCCACATCACTGTGATATAAAGTGTATTCATAAGCAAAAACTGTGACATTTTAGTAAAAATTCTTCATAATATAACAAATTATAAAAATTTGAATTTTTACAAGTACTTGTAAATATTTGCTTTTATTCACACCATAAAATGAACATTCAGCGCTAGTAATAAGTTATGTAATACTAACAGTTAACGAGAAGACAATGATTATCTTTTACTCTACCTATCCTTCGCTGTTGCGTACCAAATGAATAAATGAATATATGAATAAAATCTTCTCGAATCTCGAGTAAAAAAAGCGGTGCTATTGTGTAACAATATAATAATGTAGCGTGTATTATTTTGAATAGTATGTAGTTGTGTTTTAGATTGTTGATTTAGCAAAAATATTCTCACAAAATTATACCAACAAGATTTTTTAAGTGGATAATGGTAATACACTAATTAAATTTTATATGGAAAATTATAAGATTTAGTTTGCATGTGACTTTACGTAGTTGCGTTTAACACATTTTGTACAACTTTTTTTTGTTCTATAGACTTTACTCGACCACAGCTGTCTAACAGCCAGTTTTTTTGTTTTGTATAATGTGATTAGCGTTTTCCGTGATAGGGGTTGAAACACATTATTTCACCGTTTATACAACTTTCAAGAATATGACATAATAATCATAGTATTATTCATGTCGGATGAGAATTGTTAGCTTAGATGTGGAGCTGAATATACAATATGTGTTTATATATTATTTTTTATTTATTTTTCTAGACTTAAGATATCTCCAAAGCAACTTAGCCGAAATATTTATGATATAACACGTTTATTGATCAGTAGCCGCGTATATGAAAGTACTTTATTGAGAAAAAAACATTAATAGTTCAATGTTAATTTAGGTTGACAAAGAAAACCCCTATCTCCTAGAAGAGGATCTCAAGTTTCAATAAAAATCAGAATTATTTTGAATTCAACAAAATTGATGGACTCTTTTATATTTTTATCAACAAAAGTCACCTAGACAAATGTATTGGTTAAATAAATCATGAGGTTTATTTATTAAAAAAAACTTTTGGGCTGTGTCTAATATCTGTACGGTGATTTGTGATCGAAAAGAAGTACGATAATATGTTCTTTTAAATACTTATGTGTTTGGAAAAAATAGTGTAATGTTGTAGAATGAATAAATCGTTGTTTTTCTTTTAGTTGACAAGCGATTTAATAATTTAGTAAGAAAGTAAGCTCGTGGACTAATATTTTACCACAGTCCATGTTTGTGGAACGTGCTTTTAAAGAAAACCCAAGATTTATATTATTATCAGATTCGTAGGTAAATCAGGTTTATGCTCTCGGTGATACAACACGAATTAAGGTAATTTCTTGAATTCTTGTCTTCGTTATTTTATGGTTTTTCTCATTTTTGCGTGAAATTCTTTGCCAAACGATTGCTGCAATTAAAGTTTAGTTTACAAATTAGCACAAAAAGAGTGTCTAAAGTGTTTTGTAGTAGGTATTCTATTTATCTTTTAATTATTTAATATTTTATAACTGAGGATACAAATTATTCCGGAAATTTTTTTGAAAATATTGAGCATACAATAGGTGCTTAAAAGGAAAATATTGAAAGTTTAATAAAAAGAAATTTTATCGGATAACATTTTTTTCTGGTGTATGAGTTTTTATATGTTTGTAATAATCCAAAGTACATTTATTATAAATTAGTGTACAACACGAGCTACATAATACGTATTTGTATGATACATTTTTGCATTTGATATGTAAAATTACTGTGCGTGTGTCGATAAAAAAAAAAGGCCATTAGTTATAGTAAAACGTTTTTCATATTAAATCAAATTCGCGTGCGTGGATATATTATTATATAATTTATAACACTTTCTGATGGTTAGAGAAAACACCGACCAGGCGAAAATCATCGAACGGAATTGATCTCGACGCGACGGCCAAATTGATGATGTCTTCTCTTCATTCAAAAGCAATTCAGGCGTTAACTAGCTAATATATTTCTTTCAAAGTCCTATCCCCATGTTCGATTATATCCCATACATCAAAACATAATATGTATATTTTTTGAAAAATTGTCAAATTTTTATTAAAAAAATATAAATATATATATATATTTTGTGTGGTATATTTGGTCACGATCAAGCCGAAGAGTGAGTGGCTTGAGAATTATTATGTTTGGCACATCTAACGTGTGCGGTGGCCCGTGGGTTGATAATAATTTTATTTCACTTAGCATCGTCGGTAAAGGGAAAAAGCATAATTTAACACGACGTCATCAAATGAAAAATAAGATAATTTGATATACTATACAACGGCTGTTTATTTTTTTGCTCCATTTTACGCCTTATTTTAAGTTTAAAAAAAATACAAAGGAACGGTATGCGCTGTGAGCACGTGATGCCTTTGTGTAATTTATTCAGGACGAGCGGTGAAGTTATACTAAATGTCCTTATTCGACTCGACGCTTATTCGTTTTCAAAACCTACTTAACAGTGCATAGGTATATGTATTACGTTTCAAACCATCGACAAAATACCTCTTCCATTTCGTATCAATGGAATAAGCAATAATGTATAATATGTACGAACGCTCAACGAAACACCGACGATAGGGTTCTATAGTTTCAAGTGTCTAGGAAAAAACACAAAATTTAGTTTTATGTTACGCAGGTTAAACGCTAAAATACCTTTGATCTATACTTGAATTCGAGAGCTACGATTACACCCGACCGTTATAATATTACTCTAAGGGATTTTTATACTATACAGTATACTCTGGGCTCTGTTCGTTAATCTATAACTGACCATGCCTCCA